CCATCCTCGTGCTGGGCTGGCCAAACTTGTCAGAAATGGGCATAAAGTAAGGAAAAACTGAGTGTGCCCGAGGGGCTCTTCTGAGAGTTAAAAGCATTTTTTTTTAACAATTTTTTTAAATTTTTTTAAAATTTTTTTCCTTTTTCTCCCCAAAGCCCCCCAGTACATAGTTGTATATTCTTTGTTGTGGGTCCTTCTAGTTGTGGCATGTGGGACGCTGCCTCAGCGTGGTTTGATGAGCAGTGCCATGTCCGCGCCCAGGATTCGAACCAACGAAACACTGGGCCGCCTGCAGCGGAGTGTGCGAACTTAAGCACTGGGCCACGGGGCCAGCCCCTAAAAGCATTTATTTTTTAATTGTTCAGAGGCTGTTGATTTGCTTGCTTTCTGATTCTTACAGGGACTCACATGGGTGAGAATACCAAGTGGCTGAATTCTGGCTAAGTGACTTCCCTTTTTTACTGTTATTAGGAATTCCAATAGCACAGAATGAACATTCTTGTATTTTCTTCCTTGTTATTTTCTGTTAACAAATAAACTTCTATACAGTTTGGGAACTGTTTTTGTGGAAGGTGAGGCAGTCATTTATTCAGAAAACTCGCTAATGAGAAAGACAATAAGCAAATGAAGCAAAAATATAACGATTTTTATAGAAAATGTATATAAAATAATATATACGTATTAAAAATATATTATATATTTGACATATATTTAACAGATAAAATAACATAACAATATTTATAGTATACATAATTTAACACATATAATTAACATATAATTAACATATTTAACATCTAAATAATATATTTTTTCTATTAAAATCCGCAGTTATATTTTATGTATATACACACGCACATAAGCACACATATACGCAGTTGTATATATATGGTGCATATATACATGTGGTACAGAGGTGGGATGTGTAATCAGAGGGCTTGAGTGTGAGCCCCCCCCACCCTTATCACCCACAGGTGATCCTTAAGGCACTGTTCCCTACTCTGTAAAATGGAAGGGAACACTTGCTCTGCATAGCTCAAATTAAATGTGATAATGTAAATGCTTTATAAAGTGTCCTTCAAATTTTTTATTGTGTGCGCTAAAATTTGAGGGTGCTAAATATTTAGTTACAAGAGTGAATAAAGTGGATGGGTTCAAATGGAAGAGACTAGAAAAGCTGTGTTGATAAGGCGAGTCATATTGAGCTTGAGGGAGAAAAAAGGTGTGCTCGGTGGAGAAGCGCAGGCCAGGGACTCGTGCGTGCACGGCTCGGAGCCGGGCCAGGTGAAATCCAGGGCACCTGGCCGGGGGGAAAGCCGGGGCGAGCCCGTGTTCGCAGGCGCTGGCGCAGGCGCAGTGGGTGGTGGACGGGAAACTCCATCCTCGGGAGCTTTAGTTTGTTCTCCAAGGTGATTAAGCCCCTCTGCTGGGCTTGGGAAGGGGTGTTATCCGCGGTCGGCAGTGGCTTCGGCCTAATTTGAAGCTGAAGAACAGCAGAAGATTAAGGAGATTAAACAGAAATACAGCCCTCAAGCCTCTCTGTTTTGCCGCTTCCTCAAATGACCTTTTAAAGTGTTTAGTGTCTGAATTCAGGTCACATCGTCAGCACAATCATTCAGAGGAGCATAGTGAGTGCTTTCCTGCCTGTGTTCGTCACTGAAGACGGATGTGCGTTGTTAATGTCTCCTCCAAACCGTCAGCAGCGTGGTGTAGCGGAAGGAGACCCGGGCTAGCGTAGTCCGACCATCCGCTTGGGTTCTAGCTCTAAGGTCGACTGGAAATTCAAGGACAACCAAATAAAGGAGGAAAGTTGCAGGTGACGTGATGATGGTTTTTGTGCATGTATCCCAGATGTTTGTAGTACACCTGTTTGTAGCACACCTGTGTTGTAACAGGTGCCGTGCCAGGTGCTATTGGGACTATAAATGTGCCTGGGACACGTGCCTCGTCCTCAGAAGCTTACTAATTAGTGGAAAAAAGATGCGTGTACTTTGTCACCATGAGGATGGTGAGGATCATGATCAGAACACACTAAGAGCAGGTGGCAGGTAGTAAAAAAGCACAAAAAAGATAAGTAATATTGGATCTGGACACAGCAGACATTTCCTGTACCCTAGACACTGTTTCTTCATTAGTTCGAATCTCCATTAATATATTATAAGTAGTAATTAGGTTTGAGAATCTTTAGAGGAATTTGAGAAACCTAGAGGAATTTACCACAAACATCTGATTCTATATAGAACTGTAAAAAGAAATTATTTTTTAAATCGAGGGATCTAGAGAATATCTACGTCAACACTTTTATTTCATGGATTTGGAAGCTGAGGTTAAAGAGAGAAAGTGATTCTCTGTAAAAGTCAGAACCAAGACAGAAAATAGTTTTTCTAACTCTTATGGTCATCTATCTATAAGGGATGTTTACAGGAAGCATAATCCCTCTGTTTTTGTTTTAGTGCTATTAAAAGGCAGAGTCAGATCTTTCTAGAGTTTTGTTGTTGTTTACTTGCAAACTTTATAAAAATTAAAGTTAAAAAATTACATGCTTGGGCCGGCCTGGTGGTGTAGTGGTTAAGTTCTCATACTCTGCTTTGGCGGCATGGGTTCCCAGGTTCGGATCCCAGGCACAGAGCCAGCATTGCTTATCAAGCCATGCTATGGTGGTATCCCACATAAAATAGAAGAAGATTGGCACAGATGTTAGCTCAGGGCCAATCTTCCTCACAAGAAAAAAAAATTACATGCCTTTTTTTAGAAATCTGAAGTAGGTGCATTTTGCCCAATAAATTTACAAACTTTTAATTTTAGTCATTTATTTTAAAAATTGAGGTTATTTTATTTTTAATTGTGGTTAATTAAAATTTTTATATGTGAAGTATGTTTAATTGGCATAAAAACCGTAGACAAAAAATAAAATTTTTTGAATATCCAAAAAACTATTGTGCAAATCTTGACTGTTTTAGTGGGTAATATTGCAACAGCAATGAATAATTGGCAAGATTGAGTGTGCATTTAATTCTGTCAAGAGATCTGAATAAACAGGTTTAAAATAAGTGGGGAAATAACACGGACTAGCTAAGTGGAGGTATTTGTAACTGAGATGTGGGTGAGATGTTTCATTGGTACCCTAGGCTGGTGTTTCTTAGTGTGGTGTGAAGGCTCCCAGCATCACAGTCATTCCAGATTCTGTTAAAAATGCAGATTCCTGAGCTTTCCCTGGATTTACCAAACCAGAATCTCTAGAGGGCGCCATGCCCCCCAGGTGATTGCGCTGTACCCTAGGGACTTCTTCAAGGGGGCGAGGATACGTTTCTACTCTGTTGTGCTGTTAGTGCTGTGACTTGAGATAGAAGGAAACAGGTAGAGGCAGAGTGGGGAGACATCTTTGTAAATTCTAGATAAACGAAGACCAGAGGAACAAGCCTCCGAGGAGACGCATCTCAGCTCCTCGCACTGCTGTCCTCAGCCTCGCGATGGTTTGTCTCTGGTGCCGTCACAGCCAGGCTGTGATTTTGACATTCTCTCCCTCAGGTCCTCGGCTCTCCTGATCTCGGCCATGCTGGGACTCCGGGTCCATGACTCAGTTTTCTTCCCTTGCCATCACCTCTTGTAAGAGCTCTTGCTTTCCTATCTTCCTGCATCCTGGGATCTGCCCTCAAACTCAAGCTTATCTCAGTATTTCCCAGAGCGTTTTACAAGGGTCCTGTTGTTAAAATTAGGAAAAAATAAGGAGCCAAATTTCAGCAGGGATGTACATGTTACTAGTTTAGCTCTTGACTCTGGCTCTGAAAATGAAAGGTACCAAGTTGGCGGTTTGTTGTTTAATGTATTTGGCTAATTTCAGCCCAGCACCTACCCCTCTGAGCTGATCTTACTGTTTACTCTGGGCTATTTTGTAATACATTGTTGACAGCAATAAACTCAGAAATTTGGAAAAAAGATATATGGCAATGGTATATATTGAGTCTGAAAGATGTTCTTTAAATAATGATCCTACAAACAGCTAAATATATAGATCTGACCTATAAATGTTATTCTTTTCTTTTGAGTACTTTTTTTTTTTAAGATTGGCACCTGGGCTAACAACTATTGCCAATCTTCCTTTTTTTTTCTCCCAAAGATTGGCACCTGAGCTAACAATTGTTGCCAATCTTTTTTTTTTTTTCTGCTTTATCTCTCCAAACTGTGCCCCCCGTACACAGTTGTATATCTTAGTTGCACATCCTTCTAGTTGTGGGATGTAGGATGCCGCCTTAACGTGGCCTGATGAGTGGTGCCATGTCTGCGCCCAGGATCCGAACTCTGGGCCGCCGCAGCGGAGCGTGCGAACTTAACCACTCGGCCACGGAGCCGGCCCAATATTCTTTTTTTTTTTAAAGATTTTATTTTTTCCTCTTTCTCCCCAAAGCCCCCTGGTACATAGTTGTATATTCTTCGTTGTGGGTCCTTCTAGTTGTGGCATGTGGGACGCTGCCTCGGCGTGTTTTGATGAGCGGTGCCATGTCCGCACCCAGGGTTCGAACCAGAAACACTGGGCCACCTGCAGGGGAGCGTGCGAACTTGGCCACGGGGCCAGCCCCTATAAATGTTATTCTTAAAAGATGTTCTTAGGTTTGAAGCATTTTTGTTTCTCAGATATTTCATTTTCAGAATGTTTGTTTATGTGCTTTATTATTATTATTTTTTTATAAAAGTAAATCAGAATGAGAAAGCTAATCAATTGTGCTTAGAATTTGTAACCCAAGGGTGACATCTCCCACTCATTAGGCTGTCCTATCCTGAGAGCTGCTGGAGGAGTAGTACAATCAAGAGAAGTAAATGGGCTTCAATGCTGTGGAATCCGCGCTAATGCTGTTTGACCCTAGAGCAGTGTGGCCACTGTGAAAGGCAACACCAAAGACAGCAAGATGTCACAGGGAGATTAGACTTCTTGAGAACCATGAAGGGATCAAGCATCGCCCCTGTCAAGACACGCTCCACTCCAAATGAGCCATCTTCTCTTTCAGACCAGAAAGTCTGCAAACTGAGGAAAAGTGACTGCAGAGGCAGCGTGTGTGGGCAAGACCCTAAGTCCCATCTGTGCGCATGTGTGGAGGGATATACTTTAAGCCAAGACGGGAAGTCCTGTGAAGGTAACGTGCAGGGGCTACTGAAGCAAGGCCAGCCCACCTGAGCTGGTCTTCAGCAGGCCACTCAGAGGCTCATTGTGAAACCAGTTTCAATTTTTTCCCAGAAAAGCAATTTTATTAATTTTTATTCTGGTTTTGAAAGCTTTGCTATACTTTTAGGTCTTCTTAATGTCTTGTATTTCTGGACCAAATACTCTCAAAGGCTGCTCAGAGGTTGCTGTAAGGCAGGGATTCTTGGAGTGGGCTCCATGGACCTCTGTGGCTTTGACTGTATGCAAAATGCCAGTATTTTCCACTTTTTTTAGAGGAGTAGTTCCATAGCTATTGTAAGATTCTTGAAGAGTGGTATGCCTGTATGTGACTCCCACATCTCATTAAACTGACGTCTTTCACCCTTTGCTAGAGTAGCAAAGACAGCCTTTCCATGGCCAGTTACAGCAGCTACAAGTGTGAGATGCCCTACTTTGTGCTGACATTACTGATATTCCGATTTATTTTCAAAAATAACCATCTGACTGTGTTTTGCTGTTGTCATTGTGTAGATGTCAATGAATGTGCCTTTTGGAATCATGGCTGTACTCTTGGGTGTGAAAACATCCCTGGATCCTATTATTGCACATGCCCTGTAGGATTTGTTCTGCTTCCTGATGGGAAACGGTGTCATGGTAAGTCACAACAACAAGTATTTATTGCATTATTTTCCTTCATTTTTAGTGATGTCTCTAAGGTGGCTGTAATCTGGGTTGGTGGTCCTTGATCAGCAGTATGCATCAGAATTACCTTGGAGTTTTATTATGTTTCACTTTTTAAAACATGAATAACTGGACTCTACCCCAGACCTATTACATCAAATCCTCTAACACGGGTAAACAGGCGTGTATATATATTTATTTTCCTGTTTCTTTATCTGTATTTTATTATATATCTCTGAAAGATAAGCATGTAAAGAACATAATTATGATGCATTATTACATCTAAGAAAACTAGCTGTAATTTCCTACTATCATCCAGTATCCAGTCAGTTTTCAGGTATAACTGCAATACCATTGTCGCACCTAAAAAAATTAACAATAACTCCTTAATAACATCAATTATCTAGTCAGTGTTCAAATTATCTTACAAAGTTCTTTTAAACAGTCGATTTGTTGGAATCCAGACGAGCCCCGTGTGTTTTATTAGCTGTGATCCATCTCTCTTTTGTCCTACAGATTCCCTCTCCTTTTTTTCTCCCTTTTCAAGTGTTGTTGAGGACTCTTTTTTCCCCTGCAGTGTTCCTCACATTCTGGATTTTACTGATCACACCTCTGTGACGTCCCTTTCTTTCTGCAAACTTCTAGTTAGCTCTAGAGGCTGGATCAGATTGGGCTTTGGCGTATTTAGCAAGAACGCTTCATGTTTGTGCTTCCATCAGGAGACACATGAAGTCCTGTTCCTTCTCTTTCTGTCATCCATTATAAAGTTCCCCAGTAGTCTTTCTTTTTCTTTGGTTAAACAAGCTCTGGCCAGTTTTACTAAAGAAAAATTTTGCATGATTTACTTTTCACCAGTCTGTTCTGGCAGCTTTGAAAGATGTCAGAACCACCTGGATCAATGACAACTGGTGTGCATACTCTGTAGGATTTTCCACACACTGTGCCCAATTCAGTGTTAATGTCACTGTAGTGATGGACACCAGTTTGGCCACCATGGCATAGTGCTCTGTTGCACATTTCCTCAAGGCTGGGCGGTTGTTAGCAAGGATGACCGGTTTGGCTTGCCTTGTCTGATCGTCTTCAGAGTCTGCTTGTATCTCAGCATGCACTTTCTACTTTTCATAATAAGTTGGAGCCTAGAGTTGATCAGCTCCAGTGACTTTTTTGACTTCTTTGAGGCCACTTTGGGTGCAGGACAGCCCCCAACCAAGAGCAGCAGCCGAGATGGCCAGGAGTGAGAAAGAGCCTGACAGTATTCCCATGAATGGTTGTAGCAGCCATTAGCAATCATTGGTGATATCCAGTTCTGTTATTTCTTTCTAGCTATTAATTAGAATACCTTTAGAAAGAGAACTTTCTCTCATTAACTGTTTGGTTACCTCAAGATACCATTGTTCCAGTAAAGGCAAGATAAATGTTGGATGTTTTTTCTCTTTATTTACTTATATTTAGAATGATGGACTGGTTCCTTAACCCCTTCCAAAGGTGGCCAGCAAGTGTTTTTTTGTTAAGTATTATTATGAACTCATGGATTTTTAGCATTTCTGATATGTACCAACCCATTGCACTTGTTATCCTTACTGATGAGCAAACGGTCTCCTCTTTGGCCAGTGGGAGCCTCTTCAAATGGGTCCTGACTCCAGGCGTCTTTGACGGTTTCCTTGCTCCCTGGTAGGACGTATTCTCCAGGCTTGTCTTGAACATTCTATGTTCTAGACTTGGAATCAGCAATTTCTCAAGGAGCACTGATTCCTTCAATGAGAAACTGTATTAGAGAACCTACTCTGATACTTACTTAGCCATTGTTTCATGGCCTTTGGGGGCATCAGAGCTAGGAATATACTTTTTAAAAAGAGAACTACATTATGAGTTTATATGGATATTCCTGATTCAAATTTAGGATTATACTCAGATACCTTCTTATAGATTTCTGATTGAAACTACTGCCATGGCTAAGTAGAAATGGATGTTTAAAATCATGTGTATTGTCTAGTCCTGCTTCAGAGAAGATAGAGAGTAAGGTCAGTCTGGACATCATCTGTGCTTATGAAACCAGGCACATCACAGTGGCTGATGGTAGTGAATTCCTTGGAAATTACCCGCTCACTTTGTGCCTTTCTGTGGAACTTGCCCTTCTTCTAATACCATGTGGTTTACCTGTTGGCAACTGTACTCAAATGTGTGATGTTGGTGTGTTATAGGGCCCACTGTGTGCCAAGAAGGACACACATAACATCACTTAATTGTCAAAACTTCTAGGACTTCTGTGGTACCTATTTTACATTTTAATCTTTGATTTACTTGGAATTTATTTTGATGTGTGGTATAGGGTAAAGACTTAACTTTTGCCTCAAATCATTACTCAGCTATTTCTCTACCATGTACTGGATGATCTTTCACATGATCAATAATTTAAAATACCTTTAGTATGCACTACATTCTTACGTGTACTGTAGTCTTTTCTAAAGTGAGCTTTCTCTCTGATTCCGTTATCCCCCCGTCTATTCTGGCACTCATCAGTCACTGTTTTAATTATTGCACCTTTATGATACGTTTTGATATTTGTTAAGAGCTTCTCATTGTCTTCCTGCACCTACCCACACTCAGACAATGTTAGTTTTCCTTACATATCCAATTTGTTTTCAAGACGAACTTGAGGATCATTTGGCTGAGTTCCATTTAAAATATTTTGAAATTTTGATGACTAATCACTTTAAAAATATTGCTTGACATAAGAGGAACTTAGAGGAAACTAGAGTAATTTTCTAGAATCAGAGATCTTTTAAAATATTTTTTAAATTTGAACATTTTTCTTTATTTTTGTATCTCTATTACCACAGCATTTCATAAGTGTTTGATCTTTATTTAACTTACTCTTTTCAGCATAGCATTTTTTATTAGCAACTGATTTCAATAAATTTCCACACATCTGATTTCACACTAATCTTGATCTTATGCTTCATTACATAGAATTAATTTCCTGCCCAAGCAACGCATCCGAATGCAGCCATGACTGTGTTCTGACCTCAGATGGGCCCCTGTGTTTCTGTCCTGAAGGCTCAGTGCTTGAGACAGATGGAAAAACGTGTAGTGGTAAGTTTACTTACCTTTTGTTTGTTGGAAAACAGTTATTTTCTAAGTGACATCTAAACATTGATCTTATTGACAAAGGAGAATAGATTTTCCAACATTTACACATTGAAAAATATTTTTGCAACAGAGTAACATACAGATTTAAGTCAGGTTTCTGGCTTTTGTTTTCAGACAGCATAGTGTAAGGATTATAAGCAAGGGCTTTGAGTCAGACAGCCCTGCGGGAGCATTACCAATTACCAGCAGTGTTATTTTGGAGCAGTCACTTGCCCTCTCTTGGTCTCGGTTTCCTCGTCTGTGGAAGTGAGTGACACCTGCCCTCTGGATCTGTGGCCGCCATTAAACAAGATGGTGGCTGCAGGGGGTTTGGCCCATTCCTGTCACCTAATAAATACCTCTTTACTTTCTCTTCCTAGAGACTTAAGCATGTAGAGGGCTGGATGTAACTTATCCAAAACTAGCAGAAGAGTTGTATGTGTTGCTTTTTGTGTTTTTAATAAAGAGAGCAAAAGAAGCCCAAAGGCCTAAAAATGGGAGAGAGAGAAAAATACCTTACTTGCTAGGAAGAGTTAGACCAGTTGGCCAATTCATCCAAATGTGTTTCTTGTTCCAGCCAGCTGCCAGTGCACTTGTTTTCAAACTCAGTGATAGTACAAGAGGACAAGGGCCGTTGGGGTGTGAAGGGTTAACATGCAAGCTATCAGGTTTTAGGGAAGAAGAGTTTGGTGACATTTTGCTCCTAATCTCTGAAAAACAAATGTGATTGCAGCAGGATGAGTGAGTGTGGAAAGGGTTTTAAAAATCAACATGTACTTGGCTCCCCTCGATATTTTGACGAAAAGTTGTTATATTTTTGAATGACAACGTGTCGTTACCGAGCAATCGTCTTTTGTAGGCTGTTCATCACCTGATAACGGTGGATGCAGCCAGCTCTGCATCCCGCTCAGCCCAGCATCCTGGGAATGTAGTTGCTTTCCTGGCTACGACCTACAATTGGACCAGAAAAGTTGTGCAGCTTCAGGTTGGTGCTGTGGATGTTAGAAAGTGTGTCTCTTTCTTAGAGTTAGAAAGATGATGTGAAAACGACCGTTCACTTAGAAAAATGGAGAGTTAAACTACTTTTGGCTTCTGGGTGGAAAGCCTGATTTTTTATTTTTGGAAATGGAAAACATTTCACATTGTAAATACAAATAATATAAATAATAATCATATTTTTAAAGAATATTTCAAAGTTGATTAGCATTCAGCAAAGATTTGCCATAACGTCAAGGATGGCGTTCCAGTATATGTGAAAGTTATAACCAGAACAGTCTTAAAAACACTTTATAGTTAAGAGGCATTTAATAAATATTTGTTGACTGAGTTGATTTTCATCTCTCCAGTGAATGTAATAATCATAATACTTTGACAAATTCTGTTCTTTTCATGTCAGAATTTAATATAAAGTTGTATGCTTCAACCATTTTTTCATCTTCTGGTATTACATCTCTTGTGTCCTTCAGCAGCCCTGGAAATCCTAGACTTATCCCACATTGATTTCATCTCTCCTGAGGCTCATCAGGCTTGTAATCTGGGATAACATAATGAGGAGCCTGCAGAGCTCGCCTTAGTCAGACCCCGATGCTCTTAACTTCTCAGGGCCGTAGTGAATATAGCATAATCTGAGCTCTGAAAGCGATCAGGGGTCTTGTTCTTAACTCAGATCGTCATGCCTCCCTTTTACAAGTGCCCAGAGCAAAGAAGGGCATTTATTTGGACATGAATTAATACAATCTGCAAATATTAATGTTTTGGTATGTGTGAATCAAGATTACAGCACTAAGCCTAAGCAGGCACCTAGAAGGGGAGGAATCAGTGATGAAATTCTGGCAATATGTCATCTCATGGAAGAGGAAGTCTTCGTGCCTGTCTTAACCTACCCCACATTGGTGGAAAATTAAGAAAACAATTACAGGAATTAAGGAAGAGGGCGCAATGAAAGGGAGGGCTCAGGGGGGCTCTTGGCTTCCAAGGCGTATTTTAAATGGAGCCATATTTGAACTTGGTTATCAGGACCACAACCGTTTTTGCTGTTTGCCAATTCTAAAGATATTCGACACATGCGTTTTGATGGAACAGATTATGGAATCCTGCTCAGCCAGCAGATGGGGGCAGTTTTTGCCCTAGATCATGACCCTGTGGAAAATAAGGTATGGTTTTATTGCTTGAACAGATGTGTCTGTGTTCTAAGGGCAGAACGGAGGATTTTTATCCTATCAGATGACCTGGGCTACTTGAAAATCCTCTGCTGAGCTCAGAGCCATTAGGCACAGAAAAATTTAAGTATAGACACTGGAACATCATTTAAGAGATTTTAAGGGCCTTTCTGTAGTCATAACCCTACCCTGGTCCTTGCTGCAATTCGGCCATTTTATTGGGGTTGGTTGAGTGGGACCTTAACTTTAGTTTCCAATCTGGAGATGAGGATGGGAGGTTAGCACAGTGCCTTACACATAGGAGGAGCGCCAGAAATAGGGTTTTGGTTATTTGCTAATAGTAGGAGGAGTGGGAGGTTAGGGTGGGGCATAGGAAGTATGGGTTAGTAATTTGTATTTAATATGTGTCATTGAGGAAGGGAATTCAATGACCTCTTAACCATGATAATCAGGAAGCCTAAGTTTTACAGCTCATGTCAGAATGGCAGTCTAACTCACAACATTATTTACGTAAGAGTCAATTTTACACGATGTTTTTTGTATATAACTTAGAATTTCTATTTTATCAACCCAATCAGCTGACCATTTGGTTGTATTTGTGCTAGGTTAGAATGTGCTTGAAATGATATGTAACAGTGTCTTCTGGAGATTAATCACCTAATAATTATATATTTACATAATTATTAATCTCCCTCCATAATTATTTTGTTATTATTAGATGGTACATTAATTTCCAGAATTTCAAACCTTGTGCTTTTGTTTTTTCCTGATTTGAAGGAGTTGGGTAAATGACTGAAAAAGACAGAGGCAAGCAAATAATCTCTGTTGAATTGGTGGGGATCGATGGTGAGATATAACTACTTTTGCAAATAGAAGTTTTGTAATTAAACACCAGCAAACAATTCTTTCTTTTCCTTGAAATATCATCTAGAAAGATGATAACCCATTATTTAATGAATTACCATTTTGTGTTCATACTCTCGTCACTGATTATAGGTTTATGTACATATATATACACACAGAGTTAAAATTCCACAAATGCTATCATTAAATTGTCAGTTGACCCATAGCGATTTTTAACACTCTCGTGAAATTCTTGTACCTGTTTGATAGTCTGCATACTTGACTGAAAAAGGACTTTACTCCTGCAAAATGCTCTATTGGGCAAGGTGGATTAATTAAAATGGAATTATATATGGTTAGAGATGAAAGGAACTTTAGCAAATATCTAGTCGAAATTCATCATTTTTACAGTTGAGAAAATTGAGGTTAAATGACTTGGTGGAGGCAATCAAATAAGTGGCAAAACAGGGAGAGACCCTGTGCCTCCTGCCTTGCTGTGAAGTGGAATGTCAGGCTCCGGGCAGGAGGTCCAACCCCGCTTGTAGCCCCCATTAAACTGCAGATCGTTGCTCCTTTTCAGGCTGTAGAAGCCTAGGGTTCAAGTGCAATGGTTTTGTTATGGACCAATGAGCAAAGCTTAATAAATTACCAGTAGCAATAGAAGTATGTGCCAGGCACAGGGCTGAGGAATTTTACATACATAAAACAAATGTGCTTGGCGTTACTATCCCCATTTTACTGAGGGGGAAACTGACACTCTGGGACATCAAGTAACTAACTTGCTTAGGTTTACACACATCTGGGCAGCAGCAGAGGGGGGAGTTCAGTCGTAGGGGTGTCTATCCCCAGAGCCAGGCCTTTCATCACACTGTGTTATCTGAAGATTTACTAAACCCAATTGTATATATTCCACAATATTTTTTAAACAAGTCAGACAGAAATGCCTGTGTTGTCTCTTGTAGATCTACTTTGCCCATACAGCCCTGAAGTGGATCGAGAGAGCTAACATGGATGGTTCCCAGCGAGAAAGGCTTGTTGAGGAAGCCGTTGATGTGCCAGAAGGTCTTGCTGTAGACTGGATTGGCCGCAAACTCTACTGGACAGACAGAGGGTATGTTTCCTCCTTCAGTTGGAAGCTGCACAGAATGGGAGTCATGGGATGGGTAATGTGGGGCTTGCTTCATCCTCCACCTTGAACACAGGAAAAGGTTGCTGGGCGCCCGGCTGGGACTGGAGGAAAGATGACCCCAGTGCTGTCCACACTTCCCCCATCACCTCCCCACCACCAAGCGGCACGTTGTTCTTCCTTTCATCCAGACTGGCTCTGTATCCATGGGAGAATTTTGTGCACCAGAAAGTAGCATGTGCTTCTGCACTCAGGCTGTAGTAATCAGAGAAATGCAAAACCTGTCTGAATACAATTAACAAGTATTCTTTGAGCATCTGCTGTGGATCAGGCTCTGTCCTAGGTAACATGGGAGCACGAGGAGCGCTCCATCTTTTCAGTCAGCTCATGGGTCAGCTGGGGCGATAAGGCATGTACACACAGGAAAAACTAATACAAATGCTTGGTCTGAATATCAGTGCAAGAGATGTCACATGGCCCTGCAGAAATGATTGCCAAATGAAGGGTGTCCGCTCCCAGAGGGAACACTGGAAGGGGCTTCTGGGATCAACTAGCCCAACCCCCTCTTGTAATAGATGGGGAAATGAAGGCTCAGAAAGGCTAAGTGATTTATTCACAGCTACAAGACATGCAAGTGACAAATCTGGGACTAGAATCCGCATGCTGGCTCCCTGTTCAGGGAGCCTGAGGAGGGAGTGAGAGCTTCCTGCTGGAGTTGGGAGGAAAGTCCTCATGAGCTGAGAGTGGTCCTCTTTCCCTTTGGTGGGAATCAACAGAATCCAGAATCGGAGAGCAGTTGCAGTGTTTCTGCCCTCTGGGCGCACTGCTCTGGGCTGCAAGAGGGGCGGCTCCACCAGTGCGGTGCGTGCGTGCGTGTGTGCGTGTGTGCGTGTGTGCGTGGCCCTGGCCCGTGTGAGCCCCAGGAATGGTGTGGGAGGGAGGAGGGTGAAGGAAGGAAGTGGCTGCATCTGTTTTGTGTGCTAATGAGAGCCCATCGCCTTGCTCTGAGAGAGAGGCAGCTAACCACAGAGTACCTCCCAGGATAGTATTAGAGATGCTCTTGCTCCAGGCCACCTTGAAGATCTGGTCCCCTGTAGTCACGCTAAAGCGAAAGGAGAGAGAATTAATTAGGGTTTTCTTCAGTGAAGTCAGCAGTCCCAACACGGAGGGAGATGTCCCAGGGAACAAGTTTATATCCCTGGGGGTAGGCTTTCTACATCCGAGAATGTCTCTTTTGGTCAGGATAACCCATAGGAAACAAATGGGTTTTTAAAAATGAGCCAAATGTATGGTGTCATGTACAGTTATCAATAATATGGCATTTCTTTGTCTAGGCTAAGCACATTTTCACTCATTCATTCATTCATTTAACCATACTGTCCTTTATTCTCTGGATATTTATTGTATAACTGAAACGCGTACTGTGCTAACAGCTTTATATCCATGATACTATTAAATCCCAAAAGGGTAAGTTTTCTTATCCCCGATTTGAAGATTAAAACGTTGAGACTCAAAAAGGTAAAATAACTTTCCCAAGGTCAGGCAGCCAGCAAGTAGTGGATCTGGAATTTCAGTTGTAATAATGATAAAAATCATAATAATGGCCTCCTCTATGTTGATCCTGCTTAAAAGGAGATTTAAAATATCAGCTGCGTGTAATGACAGAGCTTGTACTTGGCTGTCCTAGAAGGATAAATGTTGATCAGGACAGCAGGTGTCAGCAGCTCTCGGCCCCTCTGAGGATGCTGGGTCTCCTGACGGTTCCCACGTGCGCCCGGCACCTCAGGTCTGAACCTCGTCTGATGAATAGCATCGTGGTTCCTCTGCCCTCCCGGTGCCTGGGGACATAACTGGCATTGCCGTCTCCCGGAGAATCAGCCTGCAAATTCCCTATTTCTCTGACTTCAGTAATAACAAGTTCTGCTGAATTCCTCTTCCCTCTCAAGGCAGCTGCTGAAAGAAAACCTTTAATTTGTCTGGAAATGAGAGGTTTATAGCTTGAAAACCTTGATATTAGGTAGAAATTGGATTTAAAAACTGAGATTCCAAGCTCGTGATATTAGGTTATATAGTAACTCTTAACCAACTAGAAGTGTATTGTTGGGTGAACCCCTTGGGAGCTTTCAAAGTAAATTCCAGCAATCCCGCCCAGGGCAGCTCCACAGTCAGGGGCTTGTGTGGGTCTCAATTCTCATCGCCTCATTCCTGCCCAAAACAGTAAGAACTTAGAAACAAGGTAACCGCGAGATCAGAACTGACAGTTTTCTCTCCCCTGGTCACAAGAAGTGGCCTCAGAATTCCTTCCCTCCCACCAAGGGGACAGGCACAGTGACAGTTGTGACTGAGTGAATTTGACACATTGAGTTCAGAAATACCTTCTCCCCAGCTGCACCCTTTCCACGACCACTTCATCTGGGAATAAAATTATGTTTTAAAAGTGGCACTGGAGTGTAAATGGTTTCCAGTTATCCCCATGTTCCCTTTACTTCCCTCCCGCCTGGAGCCTGTGAGAGGAATATCTAAGCCCCTTCCCCACCGAGTGGCTAGAAAGTGCGCTTAAATAAGCCACCCGGAGAAGATCTCCTCGGTGGTTTGCACAACAGGAAGGAGTGAAGAGTCCTGCCTTGTGTTTCTGTGCGGGACTGTGCCATGCAGATGTTGTCTACAAGAACAAGGGGCAGGCCTTTCCAGATGTTTGTTGAATGAATTATAGAGCACTATACTTTCCAGTTTGCTATAGGGAAATAGGGCGAGCAGGCAGCACATTGTCGGGAGGGAAGTTCTTCCTGTTCTCTCTGCTGTGGTCCTGCCTGCTCCAGGAAGCTTCCAGAAGCCCTGGTTCTTCACACAGCCGCCTGCCCTGAGTCTGCCAATTGCATTCTCTACAGTCTCTGTGTTATAATGCCCTCCCCCTCTCCTCCCTCCCCTAGCTTCCCCCTCCCCTCCCCTCTCCTCTCCCTCACTCACAGAGATGGAGTTTGTTTACTGTTAGTCTCCAGTGTGCAGCCGTTCCCTGGCACACAGTAGGTGCTCAGTAAATATTTACTTCTATATCTTGATAATAAAGATTTTTTGATAAATAAATGAAAAAATTAGGAAAGAGGAATTTTCTCCCCTGCCAGATTCCAAAGGGTTATTTTTTTTTTAGCATTAAGATTAGCAAATAATATTTCAGTATTCCCACTTGTCTTAGAATCACATGGGAGAAAATTAAAGTCCACATAGATCTCACCCGCTGTGCCTGTGCTGGCGGTCTCTGTGGTCTCGGAGGTCCACTCTCTTTCCTCCGGGACCCGTGACCACGAAGCTGACAGCTCTGCTCCTTGGCCTTTGGCTTTCGTTGGTTTCAGCAGAGATGGAGGGTGTGAAGAGAAAGGAATGGTGGTGTTTACACTCCTGGCTGCCAGGCCACTGACACGGTCCCCTCTATCTTATCCTTTCAACTGTGTATTTCAGTTGCCTGGGATGGATATTGAGATGCTAATTAAAAGACTGTGTTTAAAAAAATATATAGAATTCATGGGTGTGATGTCCTGAGTTGTATGTGAGAGTGTATGAGTGTGCGTGAGCTCACTTGTCATGGGGGTAATTTAGGATGTTTATTTTTGCATTTCAGTTAGTAACAGGGGAAAGGAGTATTTTTGTCTAAAAAGTAAAGTTGATGTACCAAGCCCCTCTCTATTCCATGCCTTTTAGGAAAGCTCTCATTGAAGGGAGTGATTTAAATGGAAAATTCCGTGAAATCATCGTTCGGGAGGACATCTCTCAGCCACGAGGCATTGCTGTCCATCCCATGGCCAAGTGAGTCCCTGTGAAGACACAGCACCTTCCTCAGAGGTTGTGGGACGGTTCTTGTCAAGATGCTAGTGTTCCAAATTTCTCATAAGACCTCAGGTGGTCAGTGGAATCAGGAACCAAGAAAATCCATGAGATAACGTTCAGATTTTCAGAAATGATGTAGCCAGCATGACTTCCTCATCCTTTTAGTGTGTTTTGATTTTCTTTTCTTGTATTAAAAATGTATTATTTAGGTACCCTTTCATTTTAAGCAAATTCAATTTCTTTTTGAAAAGAAGTGGGCTGTAATTTATTAATCAGACACACGACCATTAAACTGCTGTCTTTAAGAATCTATGTTATCGCTTTCCTGAGCGGAGGATGATATTTGGATTGCGTGGCTTATGAATTCTATTTGGAAAATCATAGGAAGAGTTCAAATGAGAGGCCATTCCTAGGGTTACACAGAGGAAATGGAAATCATGAAAGATTAGAAGACTCTATGTTGTTAGGTGTGAATTAGTGACAAATGTTGGTTTAGGTTTAGAGAATTAAGGAGAATAATTGGTTCCTTCCTAGTTGTTAAAAGGCAAGGATAAAAACTAACCTTATTTTACTTACGATGGAAATTTTACGATGGTCTATTGGAAATAATATATATATCTCTAATGTTTAGTGTACATATGTATATAATATATACTGCATAATATATTCTGATAGTAACTTATAATTGATTTGGAACCAGCCACATGATTAAAACAGTGAGAATGTGACCATATCTAAACAAGCCAATGAGAAGATACTGAACCATATTGACCTCAAAAAATGTACCTCAGCCCCTGATTTATGGAACTTAAAATTGACCAAGTTAACTGAGTACATTGTATAGAACTGGATACTAGATGAAAACGCTCTTCTCTTTATGTTGTCGTTTCATGTGTGCGGTGAGTTTTACATATGCGGAGAAGAGAGACAGGCTGGCAGGCTTTCATTGCCTCTTGCAGCATGAAACGCTAATTTAAGAATATGCACTTGAACATACTTTTGATTGGTAATACACCACAGTTTTTTAAACGAATAATTCCTTTTTTATCCAATGATCTGAGCCTTAATTCGGCATTTCCCGTCCAAGATGCTCTACATAGAAAAGATAATTTTTCACTTTTGAAAATTTTTTGTCCAATGTACAATGCTATACTTTGGCTTTCTCTCTTCCCTGGTGTACCACTCTAGTTTATCCTAAAGTGATTTACATTGATGTTTTCAATGATGAAAGAATGGAAGAATTTTTTTGTGCAGACTTTATTTGATGTATGCTTTCTTGATTAAAGGAGATTATTCTGGACTGATATGGGGATTAATCCACGAATTGAAAGTTCTTCCCTTCAAGGCACTGGCCGTCTGGTTATAGTTAGCTCTGATCTGGCCTGGCCCAGTGGAATAACGATTGATTACTTAACTGACAAGTTGTATTGGTGCGATGCCAAGAAGTCTGTGATAGAAATGGCCGATCTGGATGGTTCAAAACGCCGAAGACTTGCCCAGAACGATGTAGGTGAGGCTTTGGGATAGGCGATTTCTTCATCTTGACTGAGTGTTGATGGATGTATTACACATACACACACACACACACACGCACGCACGCACACACACAGACACTCACTGTCGTTCCCCCTGCCCCCCAGCATAGAGTGAGAAAGGAATAGAGACAAACAGACAGACTTCTCCAGGGATTTATGAGCTGTGAGGATTTCCTTAACATTGGAATATTGGATAAAAAATAGTGATGTATAATCATTTCTCTTTGCCAAGATTTCCCAAAATCAGAACAAAAATATTAAAAATTTTAAAACATCTTTAGGAATAAGACCTTTGTTCAGCTGTTATCATTTCTTATGAAAATGTCATTTCACAACAGTGATAATATCACCTTTAGGCATTAAGGAATACCCATTCATATTCAAGGATTAATAATCAATATGGTTTTCTCACTATTAGATTTTCAGATTTTGTGTGTGGTGTCATGAATTTTCATAAATGTCTTTAAAACGCTATATAGTCTATACTGTTAAAAGAGAAGTACAAATGGCTATGAGATTATATAGCAGTGGGAGATTAATTTTGACTCAGAGAATCTGAAAAGACAATATTTGAACTGGGCCATGTGATAAATAGATGGTCATAAAACAAGATCATTTGAAATAAGGCTGCAAAAATTGTTATGGTAGTACTGCCAGGATATGTTGACTGAACTTAATTCTGAATATACCTGGGAGCCATTGCATGTTCTTGAGCAGGAAATGGATCTGATAAGATGGGTGTCTCAGGGTAACTACTCAGGTAACAGTATCGATTGGGTTGGATCCAACAGTGAGCGTTGGATTGGAATTTGGAGAGAAAGAACTCAGTGATGAGGCTGCAGTAGTTAATTAATTCAGTCAACAGCCTGTGAAGGCCTGAGTTAGAGTATTGCCACTTAAAAGTGGAGTGGAAGATTAGAGTATTAAAAAAGTCATCGTGAATGAATAATTGAGAGGATTTGGTAACAGATTGATATAGAAATGACGGCCAGGGCAATGTTGAAGGTACTTTGGAGATTTAGAAAATGATTGTTTGGGAAGATGAGAAAACATGGTCTCTCTTGTCTAGGAAGAAGCTAACTAATAATCTGTATACGATATTTATTTTGCCCATTCTCTTTGGTCGTAGACGTAATGAATTTCTAGATTTGTATTATACATTAAATAGATCAAGATAAGCATAATCGAAAAATTTACATACTTCCAAGCTTCTTTAAAAATTAAAGACATAATTCACAATAAATGATAAGCTTGTATACAATTGTCGACTTTATTCATCCATGCACTTAGATGTTTATTGAGTCATTATAGGAAGTAGAGATACAGTGGCGGGCAAAACAGTATGTTTCCTGCAAAGTCATGGAGTCTAGGAGGGGAGACATACTCTATTAAAAAAACACACTGCCCAAATAAATGTAAAATTATAGCTTTGACATATGAAGATGAAAAGGAAATTTCTAACCAGAATGTAAAGGCACCATATTCTAAACCAGAAAGCATAGCAGATATTTTGTGAATCATTTGTATTGCTACTGTAGTCTCTGACAAATGCAACTTCTTATTAAAGGGCATTATCAAAAATTTGACATGAAAATATCTAAATAACCATCCCCATCATTAGGGTGCCATCTGCTGGTATGCAAGTGGTGTCTTATCAACTACCACATCAGGATTTTTAATGTAAAGATTGAAGGAACTCATTCTTCATGTAAAATACAATTGTGGGTCTTCTATAAACAAAAAATAAGGAAGATTATGTCTAGTGTGGGGTATTTGTTTATTGAAAAACTATAGCTAATTCTGATACATGCTACAGCCAGGATGAGCCCTGAGGACATTATGCGAAGTGAAATAAGCCCATCACAAAAGACAAATCCTGTATGAGTCTACTTATTTGGGGTGTCTAAAGTAGTCAAATTCATAGAAACGGGAAGTAGAACGGTGCTTGCCAGGGAGTAGGGAAGGGGGAAATGGGAAGTTGTTGTTTAGAGTATAGGGTTTCAGTCTAGCAAGATAAAACAGGTCTGGAAATTGGCTGCACAACAATGTGAATACACTTAACAGTACTGAAGGGTAATTCAGGTTAAGATGGTAAATTTCGTGTTATGCATTTTTTTACCACGATAAAAAAACCCGATGCTATGTAAAAAGTTCTCTTGCTGCATTTATGGCTTTAATTTGGGACAAAGATCTAGAGCCCAAAATGAATCTTAGTGATCCTGGTCAGTCAGTAATGATGAGTGAAGACCCACGGTCACCAGGACAAATCATTTGAGTTTGCATCAGTAGGGGGAGACATTCATTCTAAGCCACCAAATCCATTGCTGATTTGCAAGACTGGCCTGGAGAATGTGATAGACATGATAAAAGATCCCAACTTGGGGCTCCTCAGTGTTGGCTTCTGACCACTTGAGATAGTGTATTACCAAATTTCCCAGCTTATGATGTACATCTGAAAATAATTAATTAAAAAAAATTCCCAGCTTACTAAATACTGGAATATCTCATCAGAGCAGTTCAGTGGCATGGAGAGCTGGGTTTATTTGAGGTGGGGTCAGAAGAACCCACTTAGGGGTCAACAGGAGCCATGGAAATGGAGGCAGCAGATAAATAAACAACTTTCAAAAAAACTTGGCTAAGAAGGGAAGGAAAGGGACAAAAAGACGCTAGAGAGGTCAAGGGGATGAGGAAGTCAAGCTAGCAGAGAGCTGAGGATATTAATTGGCTAAGAGAAAGAAGCTAGAAGGATGAAGAGAATGAGGATGTAAATGAAAAGAGCAATTGAGAGAACAAGGTCTCAGAGAAGGCCGGAAGGATGACACCAGGAGCACAGTCGATGGGCTAATTTTAGATGGGGGAGAGATAGGAAGGGAGGTGGGGACCCAATGCAGGGAGATGTGTTGGTCAATGTCGGAATTTGAGGAGACTGTTAGTCAATTACCTCAGATTTTTAAAGATCCTTACAAAAACCTATGGATTTAGTCTACTGCTTATTACTGCCATTCAAAAGACAAGGAGCCTAAGGCAAACTGGTAAAATAACTTATTCAAGTTTAGTCTATAGATAGTGACAGAATCACTGAACACAGAAACATTCCCGCCTTAGCCTCCTTCTTGGTGCTGTTATGTCAATCAGCCCACACTCTCCCACGCTCCAAATGCTGGGTGACAATGGGCTTTGCTGGGAACTCATCCCACCAGGCTCCCATTCTGAGATGAGGTTCCCTCCTCATGTGGGTTCTCCTGGATGCAGGTGGAGGTGGTGTCTCGTACCTTGCTTGGCAGCTATACTAAAGAATTGATTTAGTGTAGGAATTGTGTGTGAATATGTTTCAAGCCTTGTCCTTTTAAAAGTATCCATGGCAAAGACAAGATGGATGTAATGGATTGGAACTGCTTCCAGGGCACCCGTTTGCTGTGGCCGTGTTTGAGGATCACGTGTGGTTCTCTGATTGGACTGTGCCATCAGTAATAAGGGTGAACAAGCGGACTGGCAAAAACAGGGTACGTCTCCGAGGCAGCATGCTGAAGCCCTCATCACTGGTTATAGTTCATCCATTGGCAAAACCAGGTACACTGGACGTGTTACACAGTCTTTCTTTGGCTGGAATCTGCACCTGTTTTAATTGTTTGATGGCAGGGGAGGGAGAGCGGATGCTGCAATTCCCAGTAATTTGGGTAGATGTTAAGATTTCCTGAGATTTGGATTTTGTTTCAACTGAGACAATCTGTTAATGAGTTTGGGCTTTGTCCCTCCAATTTCATCTTTTCTTGCCTTTTAGTTATCTGATCCTTTTCAAAGACTCTTGGGTTAAAGGTGCTCAGGGCAGGGCTCCGGGTGGGGAGGAGCCATGTAGACACCTGCAATGGAAGCTTCTCTCTACACCTGGGCCTTTCCCCGCCTCCTGAGAGGGCCAGGGAGCATCAGCAGGGAGTAAGCAGATGGAAAGGGCATCCAGTAGCTCTTCTTTCTGAGTTGCCCTTTGTCAGTGTCACTAGATGAGTCACAAAATAGGAAACATGTCGGCCCAAAGAGCTTCTTGAACAGAAGGACTGGCTATACTCAATATTGATACTCGTAAGATAATAACATTCTGAGCTCTTCTTAAAATCAGTGGCTCTTTTGAAATAACTCTTGATATGGGCTCCATTTGGATAGACTGAGTTTCTCTCCCCTAGAACTGCACACCGTGATTTGCGTCAGTGGCACCCTTGTCATCTCCGAGCCCACATGTGAATGCCCCTCTCTTCCCTCTAGGAGCAGATCCCTGCTCACATCAAAATGGAGGCTGTGAACACACCTGCAAAGAAAGGTTTGGAACTGCTCAGTGTTTGTGTCGTGAAGGTTTTATGAAAGCCCCAGATGGGAAAATGTGTCTGGCTCTGAATGGCCATCAGATATTGGCAGGTAATCATTTGGCTAAATTACCTTACCTTGGCTCAGAAACATAGTTCTACATCAAACCTATGCTTGTGCTGACTTTAGCCCATTTTAAAAGCTCTTCGCTTTTAGGGATGCCAAGTTCTTGGGTTCCCCCACCCGATGAGTTTGGGCTCCTTATTCCAGACTAGATTCAATTGACCTCCTCTAGTTCTAAAATTAATGAACAAGAGGTAATATTCCAAGTCTTAAGTTCCAATCCTCCAGCCCCCCATTTGTGGTGGAGTAGTCCATCCTTGGAAATAAATGCCAGCATTTTACCACCTTGGATAATGTTCAGAGACGTTTTCTTTTGTTTCATAGCCTCAGTTTTAGAGGTAGTCACCTCAAACCCCTATGACACATGACTATCTTAATAGGAAAAGCAAAGTCCTTTGTAATAAATAACTTGAGGATATCAGACAAGTGCAGGGATTGCAGCCTGAGCAGGCTTGTGATCCACATTTTTAAATAGTAAATGTGGCTTTGAGGCGGGGGGGGCAGAGTCCATCAAATACGAGGTGGAACCAGCTATGCCCATTCGCTTCCCTCGAACGTGCGTCCAACAACCATGGCACATTTGGAGTCCTCTCTTGATATCTTTATACCAAAGAGAACTGAAACTTTATTAAAAATGTTTTTTTAAATTCATATTTGTCTGATAGGCATGGTGTAAGTTAGGTGACAGATTGACAGCAAATAAATGGATTGATCTATCCATGGACCAGAATTGGATATTTCAGAACTTTCTGTTAATTGTTGCCTGAGGACAACAGTTCTCAGTCTTTTTGGCTTCAGGACCCCTTTACGCTCTTAAAAAGGATTGAGAACCCCAAAGAGTTTCTGTTTCTGGGGGTTATATCTATCAAGATGTATGATATTAGAAACTAAAACTAAAAAAAATTTAATATCTCTATTAAAATTACAATTAGACTCCATTATATATGAACATATTTCTATGGAAATAAATGGAATAACTCTTTCTCAAAACAAAAAATATATAGTGAGAAGAGTGGCATTGTTTTACACATATCTTTTTAATGTCCTGCTTAATAGAGGGCTCTGGGTTCTCCTGTCTGCTTCCATGTTGAATGTGTTGCTGTGGTGAAAATCTGGAGTTGGACATGGAGTTGGAAAAGGAAGGATTATTCAATGGCCCTTCTGATGCCTTTTTTGTATATCTTCTTTTGATACTAGATCAGAGATAGACAGGTGATGGTTTCTCAGAGTTTAGTTGCAAAGTGCAATCTGAAGCCATGTCGATGAACTTTTTGTCCTCTGCTACATTACAGCCCAGTGGTGTGTTTTGTATTTTGTGGGCATGATTTTGTAGCATCGTGTTCTGGTCATTTGAAAATATTGATTGACTGAGTTATGCAGACCTTCCAAATGTCACATTAATATACATAAAATCGCCTTCATTAATTACTATCGTCAAATTCATCAGAAAAGTCTTTGAGTAATGGGATTTTGTCAAGCTCGAAGTAGTGGAAAAAATTTTCCAGAATTCTACTTTTCACTTGAAAGCTCAAATTTTGTTATTGGCAACAAGCAGTGTGTGTTATTTTCCTTGAAGTGACAGGCTCACTTCATTTTTGAGAAAATGCTTGCCAAATCCCCAAGTGTTAATGATGCAGTTTATCAGTCATTCTTTCAAGTGAAAATAATGTTCAATGAAAAGAGAGGCTGCATGAGTGCTTTGCCTGCAGGTGGCTGGCAGAGCTCCAGGGTGTGAACTGGTGGTTGTGTGTGTACTTCCTGTTTCGTTACACAGAATAGTAAAGAGCCAGGTAGCCCTTGGCCAAGATTTTTAAAAATTAATAATTTTACTTGAAAATTATTTCAAGATTATTTCAAGATTTCAAGAATCATGGGTTCTTGAAAGTGGAACTGGATTGTGTGTGTGTGCAAGCGCGTGGCAGTGAGGAACATGACTACTAGAAGGGTTGGGTGCATTGCCTTAACTTGTGCCAAGACACTGCAGTTTCACCCATCATTGCTTTTAGCCCAAAATATCCATGTCTGACGTGGTGGGAAAGGGCAAATAACGTCACAGTTATTAGCCTTTTATGAAAATAGTTTTGACCTTATGGACTCTATGCAACGGGATCTTAGGAATCCACGGACCACACTTAATGTTTTAGGGGATCCATTTCTCCCCTGTTCTTGGGAGTTGCATGGGTCCCATGCCTATGTTAAATTATGGCTTGTTTATGCCCTTCCACATTTCTAAATACAGGTAAAATTGCACTAAAATAAATATTGAAAGCAGCCTAGAGGAGAAGGAGTGTATATGAAAGGCAGGTTGGAGAGATCATCCCATTAACTTGTCCTCAGTAATGGCGGGCTGTGATTATGAGCTGATTACATTCATTAGCATTTTGGTATTTCACTCATTGTTTTTTCCAGGACCTAAAACAGTTGTGTCTTCCTGCGCTACTGGCTCCCTCACTCTCAACCATCAAATGCACTGAGTGAAGCTGGCAGGGTGTTGTACAGGGGGTGAGGTTTTCTAAGTCATCAAGACCCTGCCAGTTTTCCTGAATCCTCTTACTGTAAGAATGAGTCTGAACTTACAACCAACAAACAGCTGTAAATATAAGTTAAATCAAACTGTCCTTGAATCATAAAAGATAAATTAATTGTGTCTGTTGATCTTCAATAGGTAGTGAAGCAGATCTAAGTGGTCAAACAACGCCATTGGGCATCTTATCCAGGAGTAGAGGGTGTGAAGATAACATTTCAGAATCTCAGCAAATGCTAGTGGCTGAAATCATGGTGTCAGGTATGACTAATGAGTTCTCCGTTACAGCTTTGTTCCAACAATTTCCATTACAATTACCTATTAGAAATTCTGAATTATCTCTCTACTTAATGTTGGCTAAATCTACACAAAACTGGTGAAACCAAACTTTGGACTGTCTTTGGTTCTCTTCTTCTGAACGGTGTGCCTGAGGAAGATGGGTCCGTATTAGCCTGGACATGAACTTGACTCCTTGAGAGTCTTTGGACTGAACCTTCTGGAAGAAATCTACCTTGGAAACAAAGGTGAAAGATAGGAAAGAGCAGATGTGAGTGTATCCCCATCCACATCTAGTCTTTTTGGAATTTGGCTCGGCAGCTTTACGTCCAGTAGTGCAAAAAGTAGATAGTAGTTGATAAACAAATACAGTTTGGCTGCTTCAGCTGCTCCAGAAGGCCCACAAATAGCAAATGTTAGAATTTTTTTCCTCTACATTGCACGTTTATCACCAAAATGCTAAATAGTTTGTTCATTATGTGTCAACTTTAGGGAACCTAATTCTTTTATATTCTGTATTCACTCATGAGGCCAGTGGTTTTCAAACTGGGCTTAGCTGAGCCCTGGAGTTTCTGCAAACCCCACCCCGTCTGCGCTCTGCGTCTCTGCCCTTCAATCAATGCAGCTCCACTTTGAAAGCTTTTATTGATTTGTATTTCTGAGTAAGAGTTTATTTTAACAGTGTCTGTAGCTAAAAATAAGTTTGAGAACTTCACATTACACATTAGATACTCAACAAAGTGCTCATCCAACTTTTCTGGTCTACAGACTACGTTGTCAATGTCTGAGACCCTGGGGACTTCTTAGCCCTCCTTCCAAGAACATAGGGTGATTTTTGACCAAATACAAAGAGGTAGATATTTTTAGGAATAATAATTTGTATGGAGCTTTAGAGTTTGCCAGGTAGTTTAAATATATCCTCTTATTTAATCCCTATCACAATCCATCATTTTACACATTTGAAAACTGAGACCAAGATATATTGTTAGTGACTTGACCAAAGAGTTTTGAAAATTATGACCAAATAATTAATTCTTTTCAAGAGAAGTAGTCCTGGAAAACATCGTCACAGTAGAACTGTTATTAATTTAGTGACTGTCTGCCATACGCTGTGCTCAGTGCTGGGGATAGCATGAGGAGCTAAACATAGCCCTAGTGCCCAAGGCCGCAGTCTGGTGTGGAGACAAAGCATATTATAGAATAAAACAATAGAAATAAAAATTAACTCTAGAGAGAACCTTTTCAAAGTCCCTAGGGGTCCCCCAAGGTTCATAGAGCATATTGTGAAAGACTGATGTTTCGGGGACTCAAAGGCTGACATGAGGGACAGCTAGTACATTAGGCGCATGGGTGGCATGGGGGAGAGATGAAATGGCCAACGACTGGAAGACACACACAACAGGCTGTGGTGGCTTCATACATGGAGACTGGACTTTGCCTCACGCAGAGCAGACAGAATTGATCGTCTTGGTGAAAACTACCTTATCTTCCCATACCTGAATCATGTTCTATTTTGTCTTTGCCTGTAGAGTTCTAGTTCTACCTGTGTTAGGCTAAGGGGTCTTATTTATGTTTTGTAGTGAAATTTCGTTCCAATGAAGTGTGTATACTAAAAAGATTTTGAAAACTCAATATAAGATTTTGGGTCAATATATTCTTATTCCCCAAGGACACGCAGACTGATATGGAGCAAGCAGATCTGTGTACAACATGGAAAGAGATTCAATCACAAAAAGTTTCCTTGTCAAATTTACTAAAATTGTGAATTCTTCTAAATTCCTGAATAAAATATAAAATCCTTAACGTGGCCTGTTGGTCCCTAGATGAACTAGCCCTCCACACCTCCCCATCCTCGATTCGTGCCCTTCTACCCGCAGCTTTCCACGGCCTGCTTCACTTAGCTGGCCTTGCCTGGAGCATGCAGGTGGTGGTGTCTGTGCCCGCGGTGGTCTTTCTCATCCCTCCACGTCCCGTGTGCCCTTCCCATCTCAGCTTAACATGCTGTTGCTCAGAAAGCCTTTCCTAGCCTCCAGACCAGGTGAGGTGAAGCCGGTATCGTTTCAGGATCGTGCTCATCACACCTGTACCTCAATAATTAGTTATGCCAGAAAGCAGAGCCTTTGTCTGTATTCTCCATCGCTGTGCTTTTGGCCCTCATTAGGACCTGGCAGATAGTAGGTGCTTATGAATGAATGAATTTCATTAGTTTTACTAAAGGCCCCAGAGTCTGCTCTAGTGTGGTAAGGCTCATTCTGATCCTGGCTGTCACAGTACCCTTCTTCTCTATCATCCTTATCTAGATATGTATAATATTTATACTTCTCAAAGGACTTTTTTGAAAAGTCACTGTTTCTTCCAGTCCTCACAACAATAGTGTGAAGTTGTCTGGACAGAAATCGTCGCCTAGACTTTAGAGAAGAGGGACGGGAAGCGCAGGCAGTCCTTCCTCCTGAGCTGGTTTGCGGCGGAGGGCACTTTGGCTACAGCCCATCCCCCCAGCTGCATATCCGTCGCTTTTCATTATGCAAAGCTGCCTTGGGGTTTGCAAGTTACCAAATAAATCCTGAATCATATTCTAATTTAAGATAATTCTGCAAGTGATTTGAAATGTTTTGTGTAATTGGATACTGTCCACCATGCACTCTAAATAACCTTGTGATTTGGGAGCTAGTCTTCCAAATAAATGCCGAATCAAGTGGATAATTGATTTAGTTTGAACTTATCCATGAGTGACAGGAGATGACCAAGCAAGCATGAAAGGCGTGGGTTCCCACAGGAGAAATCTTCTTGCTCAAATAGCTAAGCAGATCAAACGCAATTACTGAATGTCTGCCTTCACCTGGCCCCCGAATCCTGCTTAGATCATTTAACTTTCTTTAATTTATGGGCAAGTTTGGAGGGCTGCTTTTACCTCTTCTGGACTCAGACGAGCAAACCTACCAGTGAATAGACAGATGATAGTTTATAGCCTACTGTGCTATGTCAGATGCCCCCGACTCCAAAAGAGAGGAGGCGTTGGAAGAATGATTATATATATAAATAGTTAAAGGGAAAAAAAGACCTGCTCATGTTTAGGGCTCGACATGCATCTCTGTCCCCCAGGGCGTTTACATTTCAATGGAATATGAAATAAAATAATCCATTTCCAGCATTTAGTTTCTATGGTTCATGACTTTGGAAAAATGCCTTGAGGTTTGCGAGTCACTGCATAAACCTTGGTAATAAACATTCACTGTGACATACATATTCTATTATATATGAAATGTAATTTTTGTAAATTGACCATAAATCTTGTTATGATTTATATCTCATTGCATTTATGATTGAATCTCTTTGCCATGTTGGTACACAGATCTACGTGCAACATATACACACATGTCTGTGTGTCTGTGGTGGATGAGAATATATTGACCCCTTTAGTATGTCATAATGGGTGGGAATTCTCGAATAAGCAATAAGCCTTTTGAAATTTGAGTCCAGTTACTCCTAGCAATTTTATAGTTCAAATTTACAAATGCTTTTAAAAAATTATAAATAAGTCCACACAAGGTTCTTTGAACACCAAATAGTTTTTTAAGACTAAAGATTTGTTGGCAGCATGTAAATGGAAACATATGGCTTGTAGATCCTTTAGTATAGGTAAAGCTTTCAGGTCAACAAAATGTTTCTACTTGGAAGTTAACCTGCCCCATAACTTGGGAAAGGACATGCTAGAATGTTCTGTGGAGGCCAGAATATTAATGCTTATTTTCTCCTCTGAGGTCTGGACATAATCTGATGGGGTTCCCACTGTTTGCAGATGATGATGACTGTGGCCCCGTGCGATGCGGTCCCCACGCCCAGTGTGTTTCAGAGGGAGAGGAGGCCATATGTCAGTGTTTCAAAGGATTCGCTGGGGATGGACAGCTATGTTCTGGTAAGAACAAAGGCCAAATAAACACAATGTCTGGGAAATCGTGAACCAGAAACATTCTCTCAGCTCATTTTGATTCAAACTCTCCAGAAGGATTTACGTAATCAGCAGGATTGAATAAATTGCTCAATGTTAGCTAAAAAGATAATGGATGGCATGTATAGAAAATATGAAACATATTAGATGCTGATATAGTACATTGAGTTTATGTTAAAATTACATGATATATTCAGTTGACATTAAGAAGAATTTATAATTAGCTTTGGAGGCATGAATTTGAGTTCAAGTCAAATTTATAAATTCATCAATTCCATTAAAAACATAAAACTTTTTTTCTCCAAAAGCTTAGGTCATAAGTTTTACTTTAATAAATAGGTTGTACTGAATAGGTTTCTATTTTATATTGGTAGCTTCAAAATTTTAAGTTAGGGATTACTGTAAAAATCTCAGACCTTGTGCTCTGAAACTCTGGCATGAAGTGCCTTATTTACACATACTTAGCTAATCGGACACATGAGAAACATGTAAAAATTGATTCAGAAGTGAACTTTATGTCTAAGATGCAGGGTTTGCATTACATGTGCAAAAAGTACCTGTAAATAGTGCGTGATCATATTATACTTTTCCTTTCCTGCTGTTCTCGTTGGTATCAGGACTGCCTGCCTATTCACTAGTTCATCATTTTGTCCACAGATGTGGATGAATGTGAGGTGGGAAACTTGGTGTGCCCCCACCCCTCCTCTCGGTGCGTCAACACTGAAGGTGGCTATGTCTGCCAGTGCTCGGAAGGCTACCGAGGCGATGGGATGCATTGTCTAGGTAAGAGAGCGTGTGTGCAAAGGAGAGGGTGGAGGCAATCTTGGAGAATCACGAAATACCATGGGTCTGGTGGCCCGAGGAAAGACAGGCTATAATTGGATGCCACACATGTGAAGACTGAAGAAGGAGTTGCGTGACTGTTCACACTGCCATATTTCAGTTCTTGGTGTGTAGTCGAGTTTGTGCCCTTGTGCTCTTACTGCACCAGTCAGCTTCAAGACCCTGCAGAGGTTGTTTACCTGCCTTTCTGATTCTGTTTACCCCCCTGCCTTTCTGATTCTTTCTCTGGTGTTTGAGTGGTACCGTGCCTCGTTAATACTCCATACCTTGAGCCATCATGGAGGGAATTGGACAGCGTTTCCTTTGTCACTGAATTTGGCCCTTGAGCTGGGTGAACTGCAGAGCTGACGTGGGTGAGGCGAAAGTCACTGCTGTGTGCGTAAAGGAAAGTAGGTGTGCTTCTTTGAGAGGGCTTGTCGGGTGCCTCTTGATACGTTCAGTGGATGGGATAGTCAAACCACTGGCGTTTAGGTGCAAGTAAAGAATGATTAAGACCTCTTTCATCATCACCGTCCTCTGCCAAGGGCTGGGTGTGGCGTGTTGACTGAGAGCTCACTTAGTGGATGTCTTGTCCCGTTCCAGCTGTCAGTAGCATAGCATCACTGTGCAAGTGAAGACCTGCCTGGAGCCATTGTCGCCCAGTGAAGTGGTTATCTCAAGTTTTACAGGGCTTTAAAATGTCTCTTTCTGTATTTTCTTTTCCTTCTGAAAACATAAAAATCTTTTCACGGTGAGGGGCAGATGCCCTGATAAGAAACTAAAATGGTACTGCTTTCCCCTGCATGTTGAGGTTAAAGATGAAATATCAGTCACAACCACCAATTTTCAGGATCTGGTTGGTTTAAATCAAACCTTTATCAGATTAGTTTTGTGGAGTCCATAGACATCTGTAAATGCTCTTTAAGCACATATTTGGCTGTCAGTCAGGAAAATGTCACTGCTCTAATGAAGCAGCCTCGTAGATAATTTAAATAAACAGGTTTTACATTTAATTTACTTTGAAGAGAAAGGAAGGTATACTTTCTTGGATGTTTAAACTCATTCGGCTCTGGATTCTCCGTGTGTTACTAACCTACCTCGTTCCAGTAGCAGACACGCAGCGGGGTGTCACAGCGCAGCCTGCCTGGGTGGCGCGGAGTTCTCAGGCCCCGTGGAAGCAGTGGGCTTGTTCCTGGTCTCTCTTCCTCTCTCTCTTTTCCTCCTTCCCTCCCTCTTCACGTACACATGTAGATACAGCATTTGGAACCAGGCCTGGCATGTCAATAACAACACAACAAAAGTGTTGTTATTCTTGAGAGTAGTTGTGTTTCTTGGCCAAGAGGATATCTTTGGTTTTGCATCTAGGAAAAGCTCTCTCTCACTCTCAAGGTCACAGTTTGTAGAGATTATAATAGGAAGTCAGTAAGGAAAAAAAAGACTCAATTCCAGCCGTTCAGGATAGCAACTCAATGTGACAAATCTTTAGTTGGCCCCTATTAGTACAAAGGCACAGTCCTAGGAAGTGCGAGGAATACCAAGATGAAGACGGCGGTCCTTGCTCGCAAGGAGGATGTGATCTGAAAGCGGTACAGCCACGACAAGGGGTGAAGAAAGGCATGCGCCATAAGAGAAGCAAAAACGACAATGGAAGTTCGAACAGGAAGAAAATTTGTTTGAGGTATTGGGAGAGACTTCATGGAGGAAGTAGCATCTTGGATGGACCTTGCGGCTTGAGGAAGTTTTTATTAGGCAGAAATGTGAAGAGGTGGGAGCATTGCAGCCATGAAGATGTCACAGGTCTTCTTTGAGGGGTGGCTGGAGAATAGCCTCATGGAGCACTAAGCGAAGGTTGTGCGTGAAGGAAAACAGAAACTGAGGCTGGTAGGGTGGTGTCTTAGTCTGCTCCGGCTGCCATAATAAAATGCTGTATAGACTGGGTGCCCCGAGCCACAGGAATTTATTTTCTCACAGTTCTGGAGGCTAGAAGTCCCAAACAGGTGCTGACTGATTTGGTCCCTGTGAGGACTCTTCCCGGCTTCCAGATGGCCACCCTCTTGCTGCCTACTCACGTGGCCTTTCTTCTGTGGCTCGTAGAGAGAGAGAGAAAGAGATCTCTTGTGTCTCTTCCTCTTATAAGGACACCAATCCTATTGGGTCAGGCCCCACTCGTGACTTCATTTAACCTTAATTACTTCCTCATAGGCCCTATCTCCATGTATAGTCACTTTGGGGGTTGGGCCTTCAACATATGAATTTTGGGGGGTACAATTCAGTCCATGACAGGTGGGTCGAGTTACGCTTGTGAGTAACTAGAATCTGAGAGTTAGTCACTGGGGTTTTACTTCTCTAGACCTGCGTGTCCAAGAGAAATAGAATGTCAGTGACACAGATAATTTTAAATTTTCTAGTAGCCGCGTTACAAAAAGCAGAAAGAACCAGGTGAAATTAATTTTAATAATGTTTTATTTAATCCAATATATCCAAAATATTGACATTTTAATATATGATCAATATAAAATTATTGGGATATTTTGCATGCTTTGTTATTTTGGTGCTTAGTCTTCAGACTGTGGCGTGTGTCTTATGTTTACAGCACATCTCGGTGTGGGCCAGCTGCAGTCCAGGGGCTCAGTACCCACAGAGGCCAATGGCTGCCGTATTGGGCAGCATCACTCTGGGCAAGAGCGAGCCACTGGCAGCATTTGAATGAAGTAGTGCAGTGCTGGCAGATGTGGTTCAGGAAGCTCAATCTGCACTGGCGTTTGGGAGTGGAGTAGGGGAGAGAAGGGATGCTGCTCTTCTTATAGTACCGTAAACTTGAAGAGAGGAAGGAGCCAAGCATTAGGCTGCTGGTACCTGAGAAAGAAGAAGATGGGTAGTTGGGAGAGAAAGTGAAGACTTAGTTCATACGTACACAAAAAAGGCAAAAGTGTTTCATTTGCTATGATGTGAACTTGTACATGTTTGCCTAGGGATGGTTTACCAATCTCCAACTTTCCCACTGAGCTACTTGTGCTGGGAATTCCCTTCCTTCCAAGCAAGAGGAAAACCTCCAGCCTCATGCCAGGAGCTTATGCAAATGGGCACGCAGCCCACAGACTCTGTTCGTCTCTCTCTCCAATGTTCTTGATAGAATTTTTGAATCTCAAATGTGTAGAGCTCTGAGAATATGCAGCATGACAGAAGCTGAAGATGCTCCCCTTCCAGAATGGTGGCTTCACCAATGGTGTGACCCTCTATTCCTCCTCTGTGCCCCGCTTTTCTCTCCCTAGCCCCTATTCCCTTTTTTTTCTGGCAGATATTGATGAGTGCCAACTGGGCATGCACACCTGTGGAGAAAATGCCAGCTGTACAAATACAGAAGGAAACTATACCTGCCTGTGTGCTGGTGGCCTGTCTGGACCTGGATGGATTTGCCCCAGTAGGTTGGTGGGTGGTCTAGAGCCAAGGGGAGGGACTTGATTCCGGAAAATTCTGTACTCCCATGTATTTGCACTAGAGATTCTAGAAATCATTTGATTCAGTCGGGCTGGTGAGTTTACTTTCCTGATTAGGTTGATGCTGGGCTGGAGAATGTGAAATGGTCCAAGTTTTCTTAATTTAATAGCATCTGGAATGAATCCTTTTTTATTACTCACAATTCAATAAAGGTGGGAATACAGGTGGTTCTCTTAACTACTCAGCTAATGTCTTGCTTTGTAATGTTGATTTCTGGGGCCGCTGGAAAAGCTCGGCAGGGCTAATCAGGTCGGGGAGCATGTCTGGACTCAGCGTTTTGAATAACTTTCAAGGATTTTAAGATATTATTTTAAAAAGTCAGTGTTTCTTGATCTGAATTAGAACTCCAGCTCTTTTTTCTTTCTTTTTAAACGTTGATAACGACCGACTCCTGCTTCCTGAACCCCCTCCTCCCTATCACAGCCATATCTTCTCACCATCAGCACCTCAGAAAGGGTGCTGGCTTTATCCACCCCGGAGACCAGGATCAGGGCCTCTTTTCCGTCCCTGCCAGCTGTTTACCTGTCTCAGCTCTGCAAGCAGAAACATCCTGAGAGGGGCGTTGTGCGCTTGCTTGGGGCTCTGTTTTTTTAGTACATTATTTTCTCAAATACTTTGTTCATCTTAAAGGTATTGGAAACCTGCTCATGTTTATATACTCAGCTACACACCCTAATGTTTTCCTTTGAAAGAGCAGTGAACCATTCAGTGAAAGCGACTTCCTTCCCTCTTTGGCTCTCCGTCTGTTGTGGTAACATTTCCTTTATGTCTAAGTTGCCAGGCTTGACTTTGAGGGTTCCGCCGAAAGTTAAGCAGTTCTTAGAAGAAAGCATTGTGTGGGAGACGTTTTTGAGGCCCCCCGGATGCGGGTGGTCATGGGCTATGTTGGTAGGTGGTTCACAAGCCATAAGGAGACACCCTCTTAAAGCTGGCTGTCCCTTCAGCTAGTGTGTGTCTGTGGATGAAGACGTGCCTTCATAATGAGATCAGTGATTTGGCGTTCCTGCGGGGTCCCAGGATTGAGCCCTCTTTTACTTGCCTCCAAGATGCTTTCTGTCAGATAATGAGGAACCTAAAGAAAGAATGGCAGGCGTCATGGGGAATGAAGTCTGGTTAGCCAAGGGAAACTATTGTCACTGTGATAGTTCTACTGTCACTGAAAGACGTTATATCACAAATTGCTCACAGAAATGAGTTCCTGATATTGATACCTGAAAGACCTAGTCGCTTCAGAAAGTAAAAGGAGTGTCTTTGGTTTTTCTAGACTCGACTGTACCCTCTCCTCCCAGGGAGGATGGCCACTACTCTGTGAGAAATAGTTACCAGGAATGTTCCCAGTCCTATGACGGGTACTGCCTCCACGGTGGCAAGTGTGTGTATCTTGTACAAGTCGACACACATGCGTGCAAGTAAGTCAAAGTGTCTTCTGCCTGCGCCGAGTCCGGTACTGCAGTCCACAACCCTTAGCTGCTCTGTAAAGTTTATATTGAGGAGATTTTTCTATTATTAGGTTTTTTAGGGAAAAATATGTAGATATACAAAGTGTGTGTGTGTGTGTGTGTGTGTATCGCACCCTCCCGGCGTATCACACCAGCCCCCCAACTGCCGGTAGTAAACAGAAATTTAAGGAATTAGTGATTGTCCCTTTCACTGAAATAATTTGATGTTACTACTGGTACAATCTGGGGTTAAACTTCTCATTTTGGTCAAAAAACTTAGATTTGTGAGAGAATCCTTAAAACTTTGATTTATTTTCTGCAAATATATTGAAGGCATCCATGACATGTTTCTGAATTTATAAAAGTGTTATGTATATTCATACTGGACTTCTTGCCTTCAATTCTCAAAAGTAAAATATATATAGATATATATAATTTTCCCTCACTTTCTAATAGTTGACATTTATGTTTTTGTCGTTTAGTAACAACTGCTGGGGGCAGCCACTGCTGCCTTTGCTCCTTTTTGTCCCCACGGTGGCTTCACAGGGGCAAAACATCAACCTAAAAAGTAGGTTGGAGGAAGCCCCAGAACAGAGGCACGCCCCCCCTGTGCCCACCATGCTCACTGCTCTCATGGACGGCCTTCCCCCGGAGCTCTAATAAAACCACACTCCCAATATCTTGTGTCAAATTTTACTTTCAATTACTTTCATATTTTGAAGGCAATATGAGGAAATTGATAGATACCAAAAAATAAATAGATGTCCGAATAAGTTATAGTCTATGACAAAGTGTGTGCGTCTGCATTATAAATCATGTCTGCCTGACAAAGATAATGAAAAATGCTCATGAATATTAGCAAAAATGACTCAGTTGTGATGGAAATCTGCTTTCATTTCATATGTGCACACTTCAATTTTCTGACCTAAGATATATCTAGCACTTAAAATAGTTATCCTTGATTTTGATAATAAGGATCAAATTTTTGCCTGTTCATGATTTATTATTATCCCAAATAATGAGATTATGAAAACAGATGTCCTCGTTTATTACATCGTGGTTTGTTTTTCTTTCTGATACTTTAACTTTGGATTATAAAAGACATCATCATAATTTGAAGGGTACTGCAGGCTCACGTACTGCGTTCAGAATGTTGTTTTTGTTTTGATCTGTTAGTGTCAATTCGTTAAATGATTTACGAACTCTTTAGCATACTGCTTTTCTTTCTGTTGTTAAATCCTGATGAAAATATCATGTTACCGTGGTAATGTTTTAAACATGAGTTGCTACAAAAATGACTTTAAACTGGAAAAAACACTCAAATTTAAGGATTTTTTAATCAAAAGCAATATTTGAAATATCACCACAGTTCCCATTCGTCTGGATCATAACTTTGTTTTTGAATTCTACGTTTAGTAAAATTGTGGTTTAATCAAACATTCAACCCTTCCCTCCTCCTGCCCCGATGACCTCACCTTGTATGTTTTTAATTCCATGATAACACATCTCCAGGGAGCGCTTACCAGTCCGACTTTGATTAGAAACGCTGTACGGGCATCATTGCGCGCAGTGTTCTCAACGCAGCGAGTAGGTTCAGAAAGAGCCATCTTCCTTTCTGGCTTGGAGGCGACAGAAGGTCTCCTCAGATACAGAAAACCCCTGGCTGCCCCAGGATGCAGAGAATGTGTGAGCACTGGAAGGCTCCTTGCCCAAGGTCTTCCTCAAAGGTTCCCTGGTCTGGAGATTCTCAGAAGTCCCCCACCTTCTGAGCTCAGAAGAGGTCCTCACTCATTCTCGTCTGCCTTTGAACCAACCCACACCCTCCTGGCAGGTCTTCTTCAGCCAGGATTCCCCCAACACAGGCGCTATGAGATGTTTCCTGAAGAAAGGGGCGTGTAGTCTAATCAGTGTGAGAAACGCTGCATCCCCTAGCCTTCAAGGCTGGCTTCGTGGTACACTGCAGCACATGAGAAAGTCTTGTTGACCTTTGTTTAGTCCAGAATTTCTTGAAATTGTTTGACCAAGGAAACTGAAACTTATTGAGACAGGAAATCTTTTGTTTAACAGAAGATCTAATTAGTAACCCAAAAAGCTAGGAGTGTGTGGCCTGCCCTTGTGAAGTGCTGACTGACTGCTCCAGGTCTGACAGGCTGGGAGAGGCTCTGATATTGCAGCCTGCCGTGGCTCCCCACGACTCTTGCCCCGTGATTGGTATATGCCTTGGGACCCTCACATCTCTGAAAGGATCGGAGGTGTGGCCCATTAACATTCAACAGTTCAAAAGTGGCTGCTAGGCGTTGATAGCAAGTGTCTAGAACCACCTATAGCTAGAAATAAAACAGTATCCAGGAAGGCCTGGAATTACTTGGTAGTGCTTTGCACTTCCTACACTCGGATCCTGTTGTCTCTTGCATGGTCAATTCCAGAAGAATAGCTTTTCAGAGGTGCATAGAACTTGAAACGCTTTTTGGGAGTAGCCCTGTGTAGTAGAGAGAACCCACGCTTTGAAATCAGAGAACTGTTTGAATCAAACCTGCCATCACTGTGTGACCTCGTACGGATTACTTAACCCCTGTTAGCCTCACTTTCCTCATCTGTAAAATGGGAATGTGTCATCGAAAATAAAATGAGTCAGAGTGCCTAGCACAGCATCAGACACGTAAGATGCTCAACAGATGCTCGTTCCTTCCCCTCCTCTCACTGACAGTGACCCGCTGGAGCCCCTGTGACCCACTCAAGGCAGAACTAGGAGTAGGACCTAGACCTTCGGGGGCTTCGTCTAGTGCTTCTTCCGTGCTGCCTCTTCCCACCACGGGGACTCCGTGTATTCATTCCTTCAAGTCCTTCTGGAATAAGGTGGGGACATGGATAGATAGATAGTTGATCCAGGGCCACAGAGAAGAAATCCCTAACAAGTGAGCATTACAAAATGTTGAACAGGATATTTTTTAGAAGTTTATGCTCTTGCCAAGAATAATAGAATATACTCGTTCTACCCAAGCTCCCCCCAGTTCCCGGAAGCGTGCGTTCCCGGTAGATGGCAGCATTGCTTAATTTACTGTCATCTGAAGGTTCACAGCGTGTGTTGGTGGCTGGTAATTCTAGTCACAATTTCACAAAAGAAATAGCAAGATGTGTGTCGGTGAATGCCTCCTTTTTCCTCCATTTAGTTCCCCCCTGAAGAAAGTAGGCAAATGCTTGTGGTCACCACTGAGGCCTTTCCTCTTGGGCCTACAGTGATTTTAAATAAAAAGGGAAAAATGTTTCCTCCGCAGACCAGGCTGTGCTTCCTGTTCAGGGACGACACGTTCTTTTAGAGCCTGGTCTCCATTGAGGGACTCTGCCTTCAAATTCTTCCTTCCTTTGACCTATACTCATTGCAATCTGGCCAAACATTTGTTCGAAGATTCTCTTGGCTCTTAGGGCAGAGTTGCTTTGTGTTGGTCTTGAAGGTGGCTCCTTAGGATTTTAGCCTAACAGAAATTGATCTTTGATCGATTCTTAAAGAGGCAGTATACAAATAACCCGCTATCAATCCCAGGGCCAACAGACCCAAGGGGGAGGTCCAGGCTGCGTGAACTTGTAAATCAGAGTGCTTTGAACTGCCCCTGATGGATTTTGCACATGCTACAAAGAGCTGAGTCTGAAAATGCAGAGGTGCAGAGACAGTTGGGTATTGAGTCTGAAAAACAGAAGCCTTTTTGGCCAGGGCTGACTGCTGACCTCTGTTTGTGTGTTGTCACAGCTGTGTTGTTGGCTACGTCGGAGAGCGATGTCAGCACCAGGACTTGAGGTGGTGGGAACTGCGCCACACCGGCCACGGGTGGCCCCGGAGCATCACCGTGGTGGCCGTCTGCATGGTGGTGCTCATCCTGCTGCTGCTGCTGGGCCTGTGGGGGGCTCACTACCACAGGTGACCTTTGCTTCTCATTGGAACTTTCCAGTCCCTCCCGGGGGAACACCTACCTTCTGTGTCTTCTACACACTTGCATTTACAAGTGGAATAACAGTAGAAGAAAAACAATGGCCCAGGATTTCACGCCTCTGAAAAATCAGTAGTTTTATTCTACCTTGGTCCGTTCCAGTCTTTGTCCACACACCTGCCTAGCTTATGGGGTTGTTGTTTAGCATAATGCGTTTTTGTATTCCACTATTCTCTCTCAGCCTCACATGCTTTCCCCTCTACAGCCTGCCTAGCTGTAATTTTTCATGGCTGCCTTCCACTGAGTTGATTTCCCACAAAGTATTAGCTTTTGTTCAAGAAAATCAGTGTCTTCCCTAATTTGGAAGTTTCTGCTTCTTGGATTTTGTGTTTTCAATAATTTCAAGTTAAAAGTTAAAAACTGTGGAACAATAATATTTATACATTTAATTTTAAAAAACCCACTACATTAGGGTAAAGGAATGGGCATCACGTTGTTTACTCATTTTCCATTTCTCAGAAAGTAGGAGAGCATCCTCCTCCACTGTCGTCAATACTGGAAGCATTTTACGCACTGTTTTAGTTCGTGCTGTACAAAAATCAGCCAGTTGTAACACTTCTGGGCTGAGGGGGACTTTATTGAATTATCTCATTCAATCTTATTTTATGGCCCAACAACCTAAGAGCCACTTAACTAATAGGTCCCAGTTCTCTGGGAACGTGCAGAATAGCTACCAGCCTCTGCAGATAAAGATCCAACCACATGTACTGGTCCTACACCACCCCCTCAGGTGGCAGCTGCCTTGCGTTATGGAGAATTCAGCCTGTTGTCCAAGAGGAGCTCGCCTGAGATCCTGCTGTATTGTAGTGTAGGGCGAAGAGCACGGCTCTGGAGTCAGGGTGCACAGGTTAAAACCCCAGTCCATGTGTAAATAACATCAGGTACATTATCTAACCTTTTATCCGTTAATTTCCTTTGCTATAAAGGGGGACGAGAATAGTACTTGATTTATTGTGAGATTAATTGAGTTAATCTAAGTAAAGAGTTTAGTGTAGGTCTGGCATAGAAGGCTTAATGAATGCTGTCTGTTATTACAGTTTTCCCTGAGCTGTAGTCTCCCCCAAAGAGTCACACGTTCCAAACCCTTTTCCATCTCGAGGCACAGGATGCTCAGGCACAAACCTGAAGTTTTAATTCAGAGGTTCATCGGTAACCATTGTACTTTTCAGTCTGGAATTCACTCAATATCTTGGAAGTTTGTAGAAAGAATGTTGAATAGTCATCGCTTGATCCCTTTGGACAGAATGCCAGAAGAAAAGTAGATGCTTGGCAAGTGGTGTAGAAAAATGGAAACAAGAAACTTAGGTTCATGTGTGCCATAATTTTTAAGTATTTTTTTTTAATTCTGTGGGCTGAGACACGGTACGTTTTATGTTCGGTTGATGTTCTTCAGAGCCCTGAATTAATGGCAGATTGCCGGCCTTTTAGACTTAGAATTCGAAGGCCAGCTCAGCTGAAACATGGCTGTAGACTTTGTGCACAAAGAAGCGTCTGACTCCCCATTTCCTAAAATCGGAAGTGATAGGGACTATTTCGTCACAAAGAAAATTCATCAGAACTCTTTTTTTCATACTGAAATGCATCCAGAGTTGTAAAGCTCTTTGTGAACGCATCTGCAGTTCTTTTCCCCATAGTCTGATCAGCGGGGCTGCTCACCGCAATGCAGACTTCCAGCTTTGTGCTGGACCACATTGGCACCACGGCCATATCCATTCTGATAGGATCTCATTAAAAATGCGGTCTGAATATTGCCCTGTCGCTGAAGTGTACCAAGAGACACAGCTCTCGCATTGAGCTTTAAGCTGGGCGTGTTGGGTGCTTTTCTTTAAAAGGTTAAAATCAGGGCCGGCCCCACGGCTGAGTGGTTAAGTTCATGCTCTCCGCTTGGGTGGCCCAGGGTTTTGCCAGTTTGGATCCTGGGTGTGGACCTAGCACTGCTCCTTGAGCCATGCTGAGGCAGCATCCCACATGGCAGAGCCAGAAGGACCTACAACTATGTCCTGGGGCTCTTTGGGGAGAAGAAGAAGAAGAAAAAATATTGGCAACAGATGTTAGCTCAGGTCCCAATCTTTAAAAGAAAAAACCAAAAGAGTTAGAATCAGTTAATTTCTCCCCTGTAGCAGCCCTGGCCTGCTTTGTCTAGATTGAGTGTTTGATGCTATTTGTCTTGGTTATCTCTCAAAAGATTGAAGTTTGGGAACTAAATAACTTTTTAAGTATTGCAATATTATTACTTGATGAATCTTGATTTCTTGGAAGGACCCCCTCATAAGAAATCAACAGGAAGTATTCTGTCCCCAACTATAACTTTGCAACTGTTTATATTAGCCACTTGCTTCAATTTTTTCCTTGACACCTTTGATTAAAAATACGAATAACCCACACCATTTCCTGGTACCACCCGTTACATCAAATTCACAGCTGCTGCTTTGAGGACAGGGAGCCCACCTGACACTAAATTTCCCTCCCGTTCACCCCCTCCCCCCTTAGTGCTTAATGTTTGTCAAACAAGGAAGTATTTATAAAACTGGGTTTGGAGGCAGGAGACCTAGTCTATTTCCTGGCTTGGCGACTAGGAGACAGTATTCTGTGGAGTCTTCCACTCCTTGTGTTCTTGTCTCTAATGCCTTTGAGCAGGAGATTGCAGTGGGCCAGTGGAAGGAACCTGGGCCTTGGGTCCTTATGACCCAGCTCCTGGGCTGCCCTTGGTCACTGTGTGCCTTGGGTGAGTCACTGCTGTCTTCCAGCCACCCGGCTTCACTTGTGAAATGGAGCTAATATGGTGTGTGTCCCACAACTTCTGTGATACTATTTCTGTAGACACCTCCCCCCCCCCCGCCACAAAGCTGTAAGCCCATTAAGGTAGAGACTTTGTTGGTTTTCATGCTGTATCCCAGTATAGGCTGCCTGGGATATAGTTAGTACTCAATAGATTTGTCCATGGATGCATCTCACAGAACCTTGGGAACACATCATCTGGAAAGTTCTGCAGAAAAGAATGCCTTAAAAACCCAAAATTAAGCTCCTAGTTTTCTTAATATTTCTTCTCTCCTGTGCATTTTAAGTTCCTAAATTTCGGTAGCAGAGGTTGTTGTCCCTGGTCATCATTGAGTGGGCTACTGTTTTGTTTTGAGATTGTCTCACATTTTGGCTTTGTTGCAGGGCTCAGAAGCTGCTATTGAAAAATCCAAAGAATCCTTATGAAGAGTCAAGCAGAGATATGAGCGGCAACAGGCCTGCAGACAGCGAGGCTGGCATGTCCTCTTGCCCCCAACCTTGGGTAATACAACCAAAGTACATGAAGCAAGAAATTGGTTTTATGTTAATCCCAGTTCTCATTCTTCAGAGAACTATAGACTCAGAGAACGGAGACTGGAGTCTGTTATAGCTTCCAGCTGGTGTTGATGTTAGCCGACACCACAATATGGGGAGGCCCAGGGCGGGGGGTTGGGGTGAGCTGTGTCCTAAATCAAAGTAATCAGACAGGCTAAAATAGTGCCTTAATTTAATGGCATAAGAAATTTATGGAATCTTCTTTTCCCAGCATGTAATTTCTTCCTGTAACTTAGATTTCTATGTGTATGTGAAAAGTCTTTCCCAATTATTAGGTGATCCTTTTCAGATAGATGTCTTAAAAGCCCAAGATTATGCTCCTAATTTTCTTAATATTTCTTTTCTCACACACATTTTAAGTCCCTAAGTGTGAGCAGCAAAATATTTGCCAGATTTAGCAAATAAAAGTACAGGACAGCTAGTTAAATTCATACTGATACTGAAAGTTCAAATTTAAATTCCAATTTAACCGGGTGTCTTGTGTCTTATCTGGCCAGCTGGCGCATCTTCCAAGATGCGTAGTGACTGGGAAGTTCAAGATGCCCCATAGATCACCCTCTTCAGTAATTGACCTGAGAGCTCTAGAGGGCAGACTTGGGACACGCTAAGCTCTCTTGAAACTTGGAATTTCCATTTCCAGAACCCTGTCAGAGATAGCTTGATTGGTTCAGTGTGTGATCTTGGTATTATTTGTGATGTGTATTGTGGCAGAGGCTGGACTGTATGGCTGGTCCCTAGGGGACTGAAACTTGTGGGCAAATAGGGAAAAGGCTGTCAGGGAGAGGTTATGGAGGGGCAAGGCAACATTTGGGGTCCTCCCCACATCGTTTCTCCCACTCCCCTGCCTCCACCTCCTGCATTCCCAGAAAATAGCTTTCCTGTGGCTACGCTTTTGACCAGCATGTTACCATCTGTCCCTGCCTGTTATAGACATTCAGTGTATACTTATTTTTTGGTTGAACTTGACATGGAAATAAAATAAGAAATGTGAATTCTGGCCTTGCCCTCCTGTCAACTGGCTATCTAATCTTCAGCAAGTCACTTAACCCCTCTTTCCTTTTCAAGACACCAAGGGGTTCAGATCAGATGCGCTCTAAGATGGCTTCCGTCTGAAGGGATTCCATCAGTGTGTGACTCTGGGTGGACTTGGCTATAGGACGTCCTCAATGCTTTGAGGCCTCATGACTCTGCGGACTTCTAAATTACCCGGATTGCACTTGTCAGTCTGTATGGTATTTCATTCAGGTCTTGGGTAGCAAGTTTAAATCATCTTATTTAAATCATGGGAGAAAAGGAGAAACACAATCTGTGTATATCTAGTTTTTTAAAAAAAATCAAGAACACTTGCCGCAGTCACAAGCAGCTTGTTGGCTCCGAGCTATGGTGGGAGGCCTGGGGCTGCTGAGTTCTGTCCTCCTGACTGTCAGAACTGGCCTGGACGCCCACTGCTGCTGCAGACACCAGCGAGCAGGGGAGGGAGCTGAGCACCCAGACCACGAGCAGACGCAGCAGAAACAAATCTGGTTCCATCAGCTGCCTTCCTCATCTCAGCCCAGAATTCTGGGATCTACGTTCTTCTGACAGAGAGGCATGTGGTTAGAAAGTTTGCCGTGCCGGGGGCTGGATTTTGACTGGAGCCAGAAATAATGGGCATGTGCACTTAAACAGCAGGTCATGTATTGATTTTGTGACAGGTTGCCACCAGGAGACCATTAATGTGGAGGTGGCAGCAAAGCAAGATTAGTATGGTGGAAAACAAGAAAATGAAAACACAGGTTCATAGGATTCATCCTTCCATCACCAACATTTCTCTCCCTATTTGACTCCACTCGTTATTCCTTCCTACACTTTTCTCAAGGGAAATATGAGCAAGGAGATTTTTTTTGGTTCCCCTTTTCTCATGGTGCTTCTGATCACGGGCTCCTTCCTGTGGAGGGTCATTTTCTAGACCCATGGAGGACAATCAGCCACAACCCTGGGGCAGTCCCTTTGCTGGGTTGCTGATTGGCAAGGAAGGACCTAGCCAAACTGCGTCCTTTATCCTGGGCACAGGGCGGTCTCTTCTCTTCCCTTTTATCATGGATCTCTTTCAATATCTAATCTATCCAGTGTGGATGGGAACCAGTGAACTCTGGTCAGCCTGCACTGCAAGTGCCCAGTCCCTTGGGGACAATACAAATAATGACAACAATAATCATTTTGTTGACCGAAGAGAAATGTTGTTGTTTTCTGGGCCTGCCTTTTAGAGTTCTGGTGCCCAAGCTGTTCAACCATGAAAAAGCATTTCATGGATCACTGCGAAACAGTAGATGCTCTATTAGTTATTATTACTCACGAATGAGCCCTGATTACTCAGAACTTAAATTAATTTTATTAACTAAACACACACGTATTTGAAAAGTTGGGGCACACACGTATATGAGATATCGTTTGTCTGGCCTGTGGGCAATGCTTAGAACACTTACAGATTCTTGGATTGCTTAGAGTAAGAAGTAGTCCCTAGGGATCCATGACCCAAAATGTGGGATTCCAAAATTAGCACAAATTCTTCAGTAAACATATCGGTAATGCCTACTTGCTTTAATAGAGAGTGACATAGGATTTCTCATTGAAAATGGAATCTGTCATTAGCCAGAAAGAAATTTGACAGGGCCTTTCTCTCAGCTTTTCGCCTTCCATAGGATGAATGTGATGAAGCCATAGGCTTTTATTTAATGTATGTTGAGATAGTTTATGAATTATAATAATGTCCTCTCTCTTCCCTTTGTTCTCTGCAGTTTGTGGTTATAAAGGAACAACAGCAAAACCTCAGGAGTGGGGATCAACCTGTGCACCCCAAGGACGGCGAGACAGCAGATGTTGGCCAGTTTTCCTCCCTGGAGCCTGGTGAATGGTTATGTTTACCTGGATGCTGAATGCTTTCCTGCGTGTGACAAGTCTCATCTAAGCCCAGACGCAGTAGTTAAATTATATACGCTATGTGAGCCGCCGGGCTGTATTGGAATGCCCTAGAGCTTTAGAGAAGTAAATTTGGACTGGATTCCTGTCTCACGTGAGGTTACCGTGTTCATTCGAAACTCCGATCCCATCGCTGTCTGCTGTTGATCAGTCTGAGCGAGTACACGGAGTGTTTTGAATCACGTTGGGTTTTGAGGTCTTTCCTGCAATTTGGGCCCGATATTGGTAGCCGTAGGTACTTGCAGTGAAGTTATAAATGGCTCTAAGAAAATGCGTCCCATGTTCGAGTAGGAAGAGTTCCTGTGAATTTATGTTGATCTGGGGGTTCTCCTCGGGATTTGGGAGCATTAAGATACCTGCCAGGGGCTGGCCCTCAGCCGGATGCCTGGCCATCTGTGAAGTCCAGGCAGGCCACTGGGAGGAGGGCCGCAGAGCCGAGCCAGGTTCTCAGGCCCTCTGGAACTCAGTCTGCTTCAGGGAAAACAATAGTTAGACCCCCTTTGATGTCACACTTGAGCTGCTAATGAGACGAGCTTCAGCTCCATCTATATTTTCTGACACTTGCCCTTCATAAATATGCTTCTTGCTATACTCTCCTCCTCAGATTTCATTATAGAGAGTACACAGGCTTCTTGTTTTGAAAACCTCACTCTAAATTCCTCTCATACATATGTTGCCGTGTAACCTAAATTCAGCACAACTTTATTTCCTAATTTGAGGAATGCCTTGGATATTAAGGTACACTTAAGAATTGAATACTAAAACTGCAATAAATAGTATAGTTTTATATATATACTGTTACCAGTGTTGTTACCTGGATAATGAACACATTCAGCATTTTCGAAAGTGGCTTGGGCTTTCCTTGTTATTGGTAGCATTATTAGACAGTAATGAATATTTTGTAGTCGCATGCTACTTTTTCTTGAGGTGCTAAAAGCACGTAATTCTTTGTTATGAAGGTAATCCTCTTTAGGGGTACATAGAATGCAATTTTGCAAAATAATCAATAGCACAATGATTTGACAAGATATGGTTAAACTCAGAAAAGAATGAGGACCCAGCTGAGTACTCAGAACTAAATGAGAGCGTCTCTCTTTTTACTTACTCTACTGCAAATAGTTTGCCCCATGTCTGTGGGCCACTCACATGACCGTCTCCCACTATGAGTGCTCCCATCCCCAGTCACATCCTGCTGTCTTGTAAATGACGGTGGTGAAAATGCACGCAGAGGTGGGCGGTGGGCAGGTAGAGTGGAGAATGAGATAAAAGATCAGGATTGGCTCTGAGCCAATGCCCTGTCTGTTCCCAGAAAACCCATTAAAATAAAACCCAGGCCTACTAGTGGTGGACTGTAGAACCATTTTCATCAACCTCAGCGAGCATCAGTTGATGCAGGTTAAGTGCAGAGCACCATGCTAAGGGATAGGAATGCAAATGTGTTTAAAACCTGAGCTCTGCTCTCAAGTCCTTCATGGTCCAGATGGGGAAAGAGGAAAGAGGAAGTACACAGAGAAAGCTAAGGAGCAATGGCAGGTGGCATAGTCCTTTAAATCATCTCAACCAACAAGGCTATTTTAATTTTTTAAAACTTTGGTCCAGGAGCCAGCCCAACAGTGCAGCGGTTAAGTGTGCACGTTCTGCTTCGGCAGCCCTGGGTTCGCCTGTTTGGATCTTGGGTGCGGACATGGCACCACTTGGCAAGCCATGCTGTGGTAGGCGTCCCACATATAAAGTAGAGAAAGACGGGCACAGATGTTAGCTCAGGGCCAGTCTTCCTCAGCAAAAAGAGGAGGATCGGTGGCAGATGTTAGCTCAGGGCTAATCTTCATCAAATAAATAAATAAATAAATTGTGTCCAGAATGGTTTGAAAACGGATTCATTTTGGGTCTCATATTTCAGGTCTACTCTCCACTACTATTAGGGTCTTTCTTGCTGAAAATTGTAAATTGTGTGAATACTGAAATGTCTTTTTTCTTTTGTGTAGGGTCATTGCAACAGACATCGTGGAGGAAGGAGCCCCAGATGTATACGGGCACAGAACAAGGTTGCTGCATTCCACCGTCCAGTGGCAAAGGCTCCGGGCCCCAGGCAATGGAGTGTAGCTTTCATCTCCCCTCCTATGGGGCACGGCCCGCTGCTACGGGGGTTGAGAAGCCTCATTCTCTCCTGTCAGCTAACCCGTTATGGCAACAGAGAGCCCCAGATCCACCGCTCTAAATGGAGCTGATTCAGTAAAAACTGGAATGAAAAGGAAGGTCAAGAAGAACAAACTGTATCGGTGGACAGTAATACTACGTTTCAAAAAGTAGAAGAAAAATACAGATTTGGGTTCTACCATCTCTACGACTAATCACCTACTCAGCGTCCTAGAGGCATATATGGATTGTGCTTTTGATTCTTCCTTCAAGCAAGTCCCGCTTCACATTTTCAAGTGAAAGCAACTGGGCAAATCACTAGGTAACTCATTAGAAACCCAATGGAGGTGCTTTGTAAACCATGTCGGCTTCAATAATCAATACAGAGAGGTGTTTTTTCCTGCAGCCACAGAAGAAATTTGGAGTTAAAAGCAGGCAATCATACTGGTTTGGTCAGCTATAAGGTAATTTCTTTTACCTGGACAGAACATTTAGCTCAATCTCATGAGATGGTTAGAATATTAAAATTACTGTTATGATACATTGTAGGCATTTAACTTATCGTTGGTGTGGTCCATGCTGATAATTTTGCAGAATAAATTATGATAAAGGAATGAAAAATGTACTAATTTATAGCCTGATTTCGTCAGAATTAGACGCTTATTTTTTCTATTTTAAAATCTTTGAATAAAAACATTTAATTTTTAAAACATTACCCAAGAGCCTTCAGTGTTTCTCGGTCATTACTATCCTTTCCCCCACAGGATTTTTTCCTAATGAAAATGTAAATTCTGCCTTTGTATGTTTGCAGAGAATTTTTACTTATTTTTGAATATGAGATTGTAAGCAAATTGCCTGATTTGTTTTCAGTTTGGACAGCAATTTCTTCTAATTATTTAAATAAAATCACCCTAAAACATAAACATTTTATTGTATACATGGTTAAGTGATAAATGATAGTCTAAGGCGGTGTTAGAGTTGGACCAAAGTGATTTGCCAAGGTTTTTATTGTTACTCTTTTAAAATATATATATTTGAAATCTCTCTAATGTTATAAAGTAAAATTTTACAAGGTATTCCATTGAAATATCGTACTTGCAGCAGAGACATTGTTACCACAGATTACACAAGCTGATACACTGTGGATGGTCTGGGGCTTTGGATTATTCAATTTATGCGCTAACTAGTCCATTTACTTATTCTTTTGTTTAAATTTTTTTTTTGCTGAGGAAGATCGGCCCTGAGTTAAAATCTGTGCCAATCTTCCTCTATTCTTTTGTACATGGGATGCTGCCGCCTCATGGCTTAATGAGCTGTGTGTAAGCCTGTGCCCGGGATCCGAACCCACAAACCCCAGGCCGCTTAGGTGGAGTGTGCGGACTTAACCATTATGCCACTGGGCCGGCCCCTGCTTATCTTTTCTTTTGTTTCTCTTCAACTCCTTGGACCTTGGTTATACAGAAGTTGGCTTAAAAAGGAATTGAAGCACATCTCTTCAAGTGGATACTTCTTAGACATTTTGGCAAAGATTTGGTGGGGGGAGGATAACTTTATTAGTTCATTATTCAGGTGTGACCCTTTTCCCCAGTTCATTTGGGTTTTTCTGTACTCAGTTTTGCTTTAATTGACAGTTGATACCCTGGAGGATCAGAAGACCTGTCTTTATTTCTTATGAGTGAACTGACCTCAGAAAAACAATAGTCATAATTTTCCCAAGTATGGGGAAACTATTTTCCTAAATATGAATACTTTTTCTTCTGAAAGTGCACATTTTTTGTGTGTTTGAGGAAGATTGGCCCTGAGCTAACATCTGTTGCCAGTCTTTCCTTTTTGCTTGAGAAAGATTGTCGCTGAGTTAACATCTGTGACAATCTTCCTCTACTTTGTGTGTGGGATGCCTCCACAGCATGGCCCATGAGCAGTGTGTAGGTCTGCACCTAGGATCCGAACCTGCAAACCCCGGGCTGCCAAAGCGGAGTGTGTGAACTTAACCACTACACCACTGGGCCAGCCCTGCAAAGTGAGCATGTTTGATGCTTTAAGGGTTTAGATTATGTTTTTGTATTTTAGCACCTCATTCTTTTAGGATTTCAAAGATGACATGAGACCACAATAGCTCGTAGCATAGCATTATCTATGAAGCGGAAAATCTCTACTTCCTTCGGGCATTTTGATAAACCTGATACATCATAAACTTGGACTGTGTGAAGTCCTTGACCAGGCTCTAACCCCGGCTCCATGGACTGAGGAAGGAAGAAACACGCCGTGTGTTCTTTAGCCAACAAGTCATCCTGAAGAGATATCTTCTTTTCTTGCAGCTCCACATCTGTACCAAAAATATCATCCTTTAAAAACTTATATTTAGGGACTGGCCCCTTGGCCGAGTGGTTAAGTTCACGTGCTCCGCTGTGGTGGCCCAGGGTTTCACTGGTTCGGATCCTGGGTGCTGACATGGCACTACTCGTCAGGCCACGTTGAGGCAGTGCCCCACATGCCACAACTAGAAGGACCTGCAACTAAGATATACAACTGTGTACTAGGGAGATTTGGGGAGATAAAGCAGGAAAAAACCCCAAAAAACAAAAAAAAAACCCTTATTTTTAAAAAGGAGCATTTTCATCTAAGGTATTGATTTGCATCTTTTCAGACTGAATATGTTTATTTCCTGGCCCACGTGGTCTCGCTGTGCACAATGCCTGATTGTGGTTCCATCCGGTTAAATGTCATCTAGGGCACGTGGCATGAGCATCTGCCCTGGTCTCCAGCACCTAATGGAGGCTTAGCACACTGTGTGCTCTTGAAACCATATGATTCCAGTTCCAACATTAGCCTTGATTTCCAACAGATACCCTTTTCATGTGAAGAAATGATTATTGTGTGATAATTAAAAATGTGTTAAAAGCACTAAATAAGAAATCCTTAAAAAATAGACAAAATAACTGGGAGAAAGGGAAAATAAGACTTTAAGTAGCTGTGACAGGTGGCTAGATTTTGTTGTTTTGTTTTATTTTACTTTTTCTCTCTTCCTTTTCTGTCCTTAAGTGAGAGAGAAGCCCTTCTCCGCGTTCTTCCATCCTGGGCTCTTCGGCTCCAGACATGGCTGAAGCGAATCCTCTCCCATCTGGAACTTGACAGGGTTTCTGTCCTAGTCGCCATCTGCTAGCAGCAGCGTAGCTCGATAGGAAAATACGTGGTGGACATTTGGTCTTATGTGAATCACTCACGCGTCTGAAACAGAGACTTTAGGAAGCATATAAATTACTAACCAGGCAAATCTCATAGCTGGCGATCATTGCCTTTTCTTTTTCCCTCTACAGTGAATATTTGGCCCTTCTGACGTGGTTCAATTTCCATTTCTATTGGGGCAGAAGAAACATTAGGATGTGCCCCACTCAACAGTTAAGCCTTCAGGGGGCATTCTAAACTGAGTTGGAAATTCCAGATTAATGCCTGAATTATTTAGGTTCTTACTTCTCGTTTGTGCCAGTCATCTGTCAGAATAATGAAAGTAGAGTAGATCTGTCTTTATTGAGAATCATTAGGGAGGTATTTTGGACAGTGAGTCAACTGCTGGCACCTGGATCTCTTTAGCTCTAAAATGAGGCATCCTTTGTTGTGAAACAACTTCAAGTCACAGCAAGCACCGATACCAGCTAAGGGATTATTTCTGCCACTGAGACGTGGAGATACTAAGGGCCTTACTGCTTTAAACACCAAATATTCTTTTATTTTATCTGTTTAGGATACCACTCTTTCTCTACCATCGCATAAAACATATTGAGCTGGGGCCGGCCCGGTGGTGCAGTGGTTAAGTGCGCATGTTCTGCTTCGGCGGCCTGGAGTTCTCCAGTTCGGATCCCGGGTGCGGACATGGCACCACTTGGCAAGCCATGCTGTGGTAGGCATCCCACATATAAAGTAGAGGAAGATGGGCATAGATGTTAGCTCAGGGCCAGTCTTCCTCAGCAAAAAGAGGAGGATTGGCAGCAGATGTTAGCTCAGGGCTAATCTTCCTAAAAAAACAAAAACATACTGAGCTAGTTATACACTTTCTCTTGATGACATAAGAGCTTCATTCCACATCAGCCAGAAGAGTGTGCTGTGATTTTGCGATGATCAGAGATCCTCTATTGCATGTTAAAGGTCCTGAGACCCTGAGTCCAAATATTTTGACCTATTATTGTTATTATTTTTTTTTGGATTGCAGCCCTCTAATAGAGTGAATCTTTATTTTTTATTGTGGTAACATTAGTTTACAACGTTATATAAATTTCAGGTGTACATCATTATATATCGACTTCTGTGTAGATTACATCATGTTCACCACCCAAAGACTAATTACAATGCATCACCACACACATGTGCCTAATCACGCCTTTTGCCTTTCCCCCGAACCCTGTTCACCTCTGGGAACCATCAATCCAATCTCTGTCTCTATGTGATTGTTTGTCGTTGTTTTTATCTTCTATTTATGAGTGAGATTCTATGGTATTTGACTTTCTCCCTTTGATTTATTTCGCTTAGCTTAATACCCTCAAGGTCCATCCATGTTGTCACAAATGGCCGGATTTCATCCTTTCTTATGGCTGAGTAGTATTCCATTGTGTATATATACCACATCTTCTTTATCCATTCGTCCCTTGATGGACACCTAGGTTGCTTCCAAGTCTTGGCTATTGTGAATAACACTGAAATGAACAGAGGGGTGCATGTATCTCTATACATTTGTGTTTTCATGTTCTTTGGATAAATACTTAGCAGTGGAATAGCTGGATTGTATGGTAGTTCTATTCTTAATTTGTGAGAAACCTCCATACATTTTCCATAGTGGCTGCACCAGTTTGCACTCCCACCAGCAGTGTATGAGAGTTCCCTTTTCTCTACATCCTCTCCAACACTTGTTATTTTTTGTCTTGTTAATTATAGCCATTCTGACAGGTCTGAGGTGATATCTCATTGTAGTTTTGATTTGCGTTTCCCTAATAGTGATGTTGAACATCTTTTCATGTGCCTATTGGCCATCTGTTTATCTTCTTTGGAGAAATGTCTGTTTAGATCTTTTGCCCATTTTTCAATTGGGTTGTTAGTATTTCTGTTGTTGAGATGTATGAGTTCATTGTATATTTTGGATATTAACCCCTCATCAGATATATGGTTTGCAAATGTCTTCTCCCAATTATTAGGTTGTCTTTTCGTTTTGTTGATGGTTTACTTTGCTGTGCAGAAGTTTTTTAGTTTGATGTAGTCCCATTTGTTTATTTTTTCTACTGTTTCCCTTGTCTTGTCAGCCATGGTATTTGAAAATGTGCTGCTAAGACCAATGTCAAAGAGTGTGCTGCCTATGTTTTCTTCTAGAAGTTTCATGACCTATTATTTTTATTACGTTTCTTGTGGACTTTCAAGCTGTCAACTCTCATGGTTCCATCAATTACCTTCCACAGAAGCTCCTATCACTTTCCTTGTTGCTTTTGTTTTGTAACCTTGGCGTTCAGATAACCAAGCAAGTTAGTGTCATAAGTAAGAGTAACTGAATATTGAAGGGGAGCTTAAGAACATTTCCTGAGTCAAGTTCCTAAATTTCCGCCCTTAGACTTTTGGCATGTCGCATCCTTTTATTTTTTCCGTACTGTGCTCAGCTGCATTCTCAGAAAATAGATACACTGATTCTAGGTAGACTGGGTGATGTCAGTATTATTTAATTACGATACACAATGTAGTGGTT